ATTTCTGGTATCTTAATTATTATATTGTTTGAATGTAGATTTATTTTGCTTACGACTGGCTTTCTATATGTCTCACTGATCTGTATATCTGCTTCTTTTCCCATCTTTGGGAAATTTTCTGCTATTATTTTTGTGAATAGTCATTTGTGTTTACTCCTTCATCTTCGTTGATGCCTACTAGCTTTACATTGTTTCTCTGCATCATCTTGATGCTGTTGAATTGTCATTTCATGCTGTCTTGGTAATTTTAAAAGTTCTTTCTTTTCATGATCACTAGCTGTGCTCCTGTCCTCAAGGTCTGAAATTCTATTCTCAGCTTCATTTGAATGGTTTCACCAGCTTTCAGTAGAATTTTTTATTTCTTGGATATCTCTTTGAATTTGTTTCATGCATTCTACTTATTTTCTGTATTGCTCATTCAAGATTTTCATCATCTTCCCATCCTCTTATATATTTTTTAAAATCTATATCATTACTTATGATGAGCAACTCCTTTATCAAGGTTTTCATTTCTTTATGTGAAAGATTGTTTCTAATGTGACTTCCTCTAGCCTCATCTATGTTTATTTCACTTGCTATGTTTTCAGAAATTTCAGGTGTATGACTGCTAATGTCCTCTATTTTGATGTTGCCTTTATTTGTTCCTGATGGACTAGACATTTGACATTCTATTTTGCTTTTTCATTTTGTCATTTTTGCCTCTTGGGTTAATATCTCGGTCTTTTCAATACCACTAGTCTCAACTGTCTATCATGTGTTTCTTAGGGTCCTACTGTGTGGTTGATGTTTGTCCAATTGCTGGGTCCCACAACGAAGGGGAGGGGCCAGTCACCTGAGTTCCTCCTGCAGGGCCGGTTGGATGGGTCCTGTATTCTTCCTAGGATGACTAACCTAGGAGTATTGATGTAAGTCAACCCTTAGTTCCTATTGTTACTGTAGCTTCAGGTTGTTCCAGCCTGTCAGGTCTACCTGGCGATAGTGTGCACTTCAGCTGGGACCCTAGTATGCCACTGGGTGTCTCATAGGCCCTTTTGCTACCTCCGTGTTAGGGGAGGCCTTGTCGGCACTCTTTTCAACCCACTTGGTGTTTTCTGTATGGAAGGACTCACCCACACTCTTGCCAGACTGGCTGAAGTCCTACAGTTGAGGAGGAGTTCACTGCTGCTCCTGTTTACCTACTGAGGTCCTCTATTTGAGGGGAAAACTCACTGCACTGTTGCAAGCCCCCTGAGGGCCTCTGTGTGGGTGAGGGGTTGCTGAGGCACCCCCCACCAGCTCACCAAGATTCTGCAGGTGGTACAAATGGTCCCTAGTTTTCTGTGGGCTCCTGGAGCAAGGAGGGGAGGAGGCTGATGTTCCATTCAATCCTAGGTCAGTGAAGCCATGAGGGAGTGAGGCTGCTGATGTGCTGATCTCTAAGTCCATCTCACACTAGTCACTATGAAAGAGAATTTAAAATTTCAAACAAAAGCTTGCTGAGAAAACCTGCCAAGAATGCCTGCCAAAACCCAGCAGACATGTCCAGGCAAGCCTGATGACATTCCTTCCTTTTTGTGATCCCTACTGCCCTTGTGTAGCTGATGGCCTTGCAGTATAACTTGAAATTTATTTGTTGCCTTTGTGTAACTGATGGCCTTGTAGCTTGAGAATCTTAAATTCTTTCAACAACCCTCTAATCACAGTGTGTCAAATTTGCCTTTTTGTACCTTTTTCTTGTTTTCCCCTTAAAAGCCCTGAAACACTGCCAGGTGGCATGCTTGACTCTCTGGAAGAGAATCCCAGGCAGGCTACCCATGCAATAGATAAACTGTCTTCTGAGCTTTGGTGCCTGATCTTCCCATGTGGTTCCATTTTCTGTAACACTGTTACCCATGGTATCAGTCAGATTTTTAATCTCTTGGCTTTTTGTTTGCTACCTTTTCATGGACTCAACTGATACTCAGGTTCTGTATCATTTTGTTATTTGTTTAGTTATATTTTGTTTGAGCTTGCTGAGCACTTTATTGATGTGTTTTTTTAAAACCTCCTCTTTTATCATTTTGAGTAATTCTTCCGGGTGGCTTGTAATTTTCTTCCCATTGATGCCCATGCATCAGTTTTGAAGGAGTTGTCAGTTTTTGGAGGTGTTTTGTTGTCTTCTTGCCTCATTGCTGTCACCCCCACTCCCAAGGTTCCTGGGCCAATTATAGTAGAAAAACGTTTTTTTGCTAATATGTATATTTCTTTAGTTAGTGCGGTTTTCAGTGATGCCCTATGGGTGTGGCTAACAGTAGGTGTTTACCTCTGTCCCAAGATCCAACCACTTTCATTACGTTGGGAGATGTTATATAACTTAAAAAAAACTATGTAACTTCAGTACTTAGGTTTTTTTTTTTTTAAATATGAAAAATGTGCAAGAGGAGAGCTTGTGATACTTGAAAACTGACATTGAATCATGTTTCTAATTTATTATATTCAGAAGGTCTTATACAGGTATTATTTGAAAGAAGACACATCATATTTGACTTCTATGCGTATAATGACACATTCCTATCTCCCTACTGCTCTGACTTTAAAATTTGTGTTAGATTTTCCCTTTTTTATATTTGGTAGGGGTGGATATTTTTACTGTCTGACAACTTTTGAGTCTAATCATTAGTTCTTAGAACTTTTACTATGATATTAGACTTTGTTTAATGTACTTTGGAGCTCATTGACTATAAATTTGTGCTCTGGCTCTCTCTCTCTTTGTATGTGTGTGTCAGTGAAGGATTAGATTGATAAGGAAAATGGTTTATATGGATATTTGCTTTGATTTATGAGAAGACTATATTCCTAGTACTAGTTTATTTGATAAATACAAGTGTTATATGGTAGCGTAAAGTCCACTGAACTAGGATTTAGGAGACATTTTTGTTTTAAACTTTGCATCACCAAAGTTTGTATTTTGGAGCAAGTATATTAACATTTCTAGGATTCTTTTCTGTCCTCTATGAAGTTGAAGATGTGAACTTTATTTTTAAATGTCTACTGCAATTCTTCTGACATCATGTGATCTTTTAGTTTGAAAGAATTGCCTTTCTAGAAAACAAAATTGTATTAGGAATTTTGTAATTTCTTCCTTTGTGCAGGAGTTTTTTTTTTTTTTTTTTTTTAGGAGTTTGAATATTTTTTTTTTAGTCATTCAATCTGCATTTAAGATATCATTTGTATCCTTTTCTGCGTTGTTGCCTTTGAAAATTGGACTCAATTTATGCTTAATCTTTCTTCATTTTTAAACCAGAATGCCCCCAAGGCATTATCTCTAGAATTTATTTCACTCTTTTTCTTTATGTTCATATTTTTGTTTGTATTACTCCCTTTCTGTATACATTTTCTTATATCCAAGTCACTTTGAGCCCCACATTTCATTAATAATTATTTGGGCTGTTGATGTGTTACATTGTATAGGAGACTATAAAATTCTTAAAGGCATATATATAATTTTCATTATTTTTCTAATCTTATTGCTGACTCCTATAATAATTTTTATGTAATTAATATTTATAAAACTTAATTTGGAGATTACCACTTAGAATTTCAGATACAGTTATGACAATGAATAGAGAAAAATTAACCTAATAATAAGGAAATTACTAGAGCCATTTTGAATTAAAGCAGTGCTTTAACTAAGTCAACTGCAAACATCTGTTCCACGGTCCCTTCGTTACTGTCCTTCTAGTTGCATCTCTTCCTTCTTGCTGACTAACATGCCTGCTTAGTATTATGACTCATGTAGATGCTTAGTATCCTATTTACTTTGTATTATATATTTACTTGTGTTTATTAATCACTAAAGTGCTGCTGTAGTCTTAAGTGTTTAGTAGTACCCAATATTAACATTCTTGCTTTGATTTATATAGTATATCCTTTTTGAAGTTTATCTTCTTGATTTTGCTCATAGGCTTATTGACTTCAGTCTTCTGAGCTTTAGTATGGTTCTAACTATTCATGTTTGTTTTCATTGCTTTTTTGTTTGTTTCAAGAAATCTTTCACTGTTTTCCTGTAGCACATGTTTTTTGGTTGCGTGTTCTGCAGGGTTTACATTGTCAGGTGTCTCGTCATCAGTTTGGTGTTGGAGGTGGACTGACTGACTGTCAGGAATTAGCCTGAGATAGTGCTGTTAGACTAACAGTGCCAGGTGTGTCGGCAGCAGGAGAATGTCTATAACGGTCATGGTGGCTGTCACACCTTGACTAAACAGGTTTATGCTATTTAAAAAATGGACATTTTTGTAGGTGAGCTTGGTATATTTAACTTGAATTGCAGAATTAACCAAACATTTCAGCATGTCATGTAGTTTTTGGGTGGATAGGTAAAGATGATCCCCCCACCTAGTTTTGGGTTCAGTAATCTCTGTACTTTGAATTAATAATTGTTTCTGATGGTTGCAGGATTGTTTGGACTAGATAAAAGAACAAAGACAAAATAAGACATCAAATAAAAACAGAAAGTGATAGGTAATTTGGAGTCCGTGATGTTTATTGAATAATCCTTGAGAACGTTGTGTTGAGAAAAGGAACCTGAGAAGAAGACATGTGACAGTGGCTCAGTAGGAGTGTCAACAGGGCTGTTCACAGCTGTGTGGGCTTGAATGCTGTTTTTGCTGCTTTCTCAGTCTCTCTCAAGAGTATCTCTTTTACAAAATATTTACTAGTTCAGATTATTAGGTATTTATAATAGCAAAGAATAGCTCATACATTCCTTAAGTATGTCGATATTTAAATAGCTTTTCTCAGAAAGGATGTGAATAATTGTATTGAAAGAGTATACCTTTAAGAATACAAAGAAAAGTACAAATTGCCCTTTCTTTTCTTTTAGAAATAATAAACAAACTAGGAGTCTTGGGCAGCAGTCTTTCCTTGTATATGTAGTAGAAACATTTTATAAGAGAAAAAAAGTATATATATATTCGTTGTGTAGGTTACATTTAATTTAAGTATTGTTGTTCATTTATTTTGTTGTTCATTTATTTTAACAGGTATCTTTCAGATGAAGGCATTGAAGCTTGTGCAAGTTCTCCTGACAAAGTCAATATAAATGACATCATTCTCATTGCTCTCAATGTAGGTTATGTTTGTTAACTTATAAACATGTTAAATCTAAAAGTCATATTTATGAAAAACATTTCATAGGATAAACTTGATTTTAGGATAAAGAGTATGGACAACATCTGTTTTCGATCCCCTACCCTTTTTGTTTGGTTTGGTTTTTTAACACATGTTCTTGCTGTGTAGTTCAGGCTGGCCTTCAGCTTGCAGAGATCCTCCTGCCTCAGCCTCCTGAGCACTGAGCTTGCAGGCATGCATAGCCATGCCCAGTTTTTGATCCATTTTAAGTTGTAGTGATATTTTTTGAATTTGATAATTTCATATTAGCCAATTATTAACATCTGTTGTAAAGAATACGATGAAAAAAGGAAAAATTCAGTCAGTACTTTTTTCACCTAATATTTAGTTATAGAATTTTGTAACATTATAGTAGCTGCTTAGTAATAGAACCATTTATTAAAACAAACTGCTGTTTAATTTGAATGGAAACTTAAGATACAGCTTTTAGAAATTAAAATAAAAATATAAGTATGCAGATACTGAATTCTGGTAGTTACTCTTCTGGTAGTTTTCTACAATAAATGTTATTAACAATCCAATTTATACATTGTGATAGACGACCAATGAGGTTTGTAAAAGAACTATTGTCTGAGAAATCATCAGATTCCAGCAACATTCATATTAACAGCAGAAATACTGTATAATAAAAATACTAAAATATCAATAAATGTATAACTAACATTTTCTTTTATAATTAAAATATACAAATTATAAATTAATATTTTTAGAATTATGCTTGTTTAAACATAAGATTTATGTTCTGAACTCCAAAGTCATTTTTTATAGCTTTGATTTTTATTCAGTGAGATTCAGATAAAATCTTTTTATTTCTGAATCGAAATGTTTAACAAACAAAAGACAGATTTTCTGTAGTAAACATTGGTTATAAACTATATTATCTATTACTACAATGGCAGAAATCTCAAGAAACTCTTAACTTTGATTTGCACCCCCAAATTAGTGAATTCAAGTGTAAATAAATTTATTTCTTATGTATTTAAGAAGAGCTTTTTTTCCCCCCTGTCTTTTTGAGACAGAGTCTGGCTATGCAGTTTGGGCTGGCTGTGGGCTCACTTTGTTGCCCAGGCTGGTCTCAAACTTGCAATGATTGTCCTGCCTCAGCCTCCCAAGTGCTGGGATTACAGAAGTGTGCTACCATGCCTAGCTAAGAGCTTTCTAAAGATGATATAGGATTTTATGACAACTGATTTTCTTTTTCTTTTTGTTTTTTGGACCAAGAATTGAACTCAGAACTTTATACTGTCCAGGCAGGCACCATCATCCCCTGTTCTTTTATTTATTTATTTATTTATTTTTTATTTACTTGTGGAAAATAACAAATGAACTGTGTATAATTGGTGTGAACTTAAAATAAAAAAAGCAAAATTAAATGTTTGGGTCATATACATAAGAACTTGATGATCGTTATCTGAATGCATTAATTTGTGTTTATCATTTCCTCTGAAATACATGACATTGTACTCTAGAAGTATCATGCTGTATGATAATAGAAAGAGAAAAAAAATTATCAGAATGAAACCTATACCAGACAAATTTACTTTTCAATATTATCACTTTTAATAAGATTCCATCCTTTATAGTATCCAGTTGAATTGATTTTCAACTTTTGAAAGATAGAGATACTAACCACTAGTTGAGAAAGATGTCTTACTGATTGTTCTGTATACACGCACACACATGTGCTTTTCATATTTTATACTGAAGAATACTCCATGGAGAAGTTTTCTTATCTTTTGTTCCTCTGTTGGACACTTGTTCCTTTATCAAGCAGTGAACAATTGAATAACACATGCACAGTGTCTAATGCCCAAAGCTTTTTGTGCTGCTTATTAAAAGGAACCCTCTGCTTAGGGAGTACCAGAATTCCAGATCATAAGCCCCTTTCTCTCCTTAAAACACACAGTTTCTTCCTTACACCCAAAGTAGGTATTCACTGTGTATAGGTATTTATATCAAGAGTCCTGGCAGTGAATCACATTTTCAGTTAGAGAATGGTTGGAGTACAAAGTTCCCAGGACCAGTTTAGGTTTACCACTGTATGGAGGCTTTTTGTATACAAAACTACATTAAATCTGCCTTACGACCTTTTTTTCTTATGATTCTTTTATGCTTAGATTTTTAATTGAAAAGGAGGTTCGGGGGCTGGGGATTTAGCTCAGCAGCATAAGCACCTGCCTTGTAAGCAGATGGTCGTGAGTTCAATCCCCGATACCGATTAAAAAGAAAAAAAAAAAAGGAAAAGGAGGTTCGTAATTTTTTACCTGCATTTTAAAGAATGAGAATATTAAGAAATGATATGAAGTCTGCATTTGGTTTTGGTTCAAATGTGAATTACTCAGAAGATAACACAATCTTCCATTAGTAAACATTATTTATTAAGTAAAAATGTAAAAGCAGGGATTATTTCTCTAGAAATTCTATGTAAAATGGTTTACCAAGGAGGCGTTATCCTAAATTTACTTACTTGAATAGTCAGCAATGTGTATGTGTGTTGCTTATGTAGGTAGGTGGTTTGAAAATTATGAGCAAAACTTTTAATTTTTTTTTATATTTTAAAACAAATATTTTTCATAGATCTATATATCTGAGTTCATTTTTGTATTAACTATAAAGTATTGGGACACAACCATTGTCCTAGAAAATCTGATAATAACATTGCTGTTGTTATAAAGTAATTTTGAGTTTAGGATGTTGGATTTGGAATGCAATTTTTATCTTGCTGTAAAAGCACACTGAGAGCCTAGTGAGGGGGCACAGACCTATAATCCCAGCATTTGGGCGGGTTGTCATGAGTTTGAGCCCAGCCTGAGCTGCGTAGTGAACCTACATAGTGTAGTGTAGTATGTAGTTACAATGCAAAGATGACCCCTAACCTAAAACTTACCAAATAAAACTGCCAGGCAAGCTAAATGCAAAAAATTATGTAACAATCCTTAAGTTTATGATTTTTTTCTGCAGCTTCAAACCATTAACAAGTGAAAAAGTCATTAACTGGATGTTATGTTGTATGCCTTTTCATTTTAAAAATGCTGAGTAATACATGGATACACATATTTTTTACACTAGCTTCCCCTCAGTAGGATTTTTTTAAAGATCAAATGTTAATAAATGTGAGCATTAAATGCAGTAACTTGCACAGAATAAGCATTCAGTGAATATCAGTCTTCCTGTTCTTGAACTCACTGTGCAGCACAGGATAGCCTCGAACTTGAGGCAGTCTTCCTGCCTCAGCCTCCCAAGTGCTGGATTACAAGCATGTGTCACCATTCCTGGCTGATGATAATTTCTTGGTGTAAATAATTGGACCTTTCTCATCAGTACTGAGTACTGATTCGTTTGTCTTTGTATGAATTTCATGCCATTCCCTTTTAGGTTTTCACTTCAGGAGGACTTAATTCTGAAAAATTCTGTTGCTTTGTCAAACATGTTACAACTTTTTAATGTTAATGCTTATGTTTTCCTTTGGCTTGCTGAGTTGTACATATTTATGCATTTTCATGTAGTTTGTTGTTTACCAGCTTGTTTCTGTTTTGTGTAAGCAGATGGAGTCATTTTTTATTATAATACAGTCTTACTTCTATGCTATAACCAGTGGTACTGTTCCCTGGTATATTTATATGTTGCTTTCTGGAATAATGTATTTTTATGTCTCTGCATAATAAAGGTTATATGAAATTCAGTTGTTAAAAATGCACTGTGTTTATGCATTCAAAAGCTGTTGATTTTGGATTATGGCTTTAGTTTTTTAGTAACACCTCAACTTATATAAAATGAAGTGTGAAATTTTAATAGAGAATAGTAAGTTACCTAAAGAAGTATGGGGCTCAGTGTGTTACTGTTCATTTTACAGAAATGTTTTAAACAATGTATATATGGGATTATATTATTTGAAAAGCTCAATTACAAGAATGTGTCTCAAAGTCACATACCTTAAGTAATTTCATTTTTTGTTCATGAGATTAGATTTATATTTTTTCTGTAATTTTTAATTCTATTTTTATTTTAGACAGATCTGAGAACAATTGGCAAGAAATTTCTTCCCAGTGACATCAGCAGTGGTGGAAAGGTAGAAAAGGTAAAGAAAACTGTTAGCTTCTTAAATTTTGCCAACTACAATAAATACGAACGTTTATTAAATTACTAGAATTTTTTATTTCAGTAAACTGGAAAAATATTTTGGAAGTGAACCTGTCTATAGATTATCATTATGATGATTTTTTCTGCACAAAAAATGTAATTAAAAGTTAAATTTTTGTGACTTGTAAACATACTAGTTTCAAGAATTGTAAATACAAACATAGCATACTTGTTTACATGTAAGACTTAATATGTTATCAGAGCTAAAGGCAAATGCTTCTTATCTTTTTATTGTTAACTTTATTTAATGAACTTTTTAGTATAATAATGTAAGAATGCATGTGCCATCATTTTGTACTATACATAAATGTATTTATGTAAGTAATATTTTTTAGTAATTTCTTTTTAAAATATAGCACAAGAATACATGTTTGGGATATCATCCATCCAGTCTTACTTCTTATTTATTTATGTTGGGCTTTTTCTTTTTTTATTTGAAAGTACATGTAAATTGTGTAAGCTAAGAATTTAATATTTGCTCTTGGTCACTTTTTTTAATTGTTAAGGAACATTATTATCTATAATTTGAAGAAACGATTTTAATTTGTATGTTTTCTGTTTGAATAAGTACTCTATTTTTACTTTCACTCATTTTAAAATATGTTAACCTCAGATGTTTTAAATTGTGGATAGTTAAGGCCTTTAATGTAATAAAATATTTTATATTTTATAAATATTAAATCATTTTTCAGTTGATACCGGTAATGAGCACGAAAAGAGGATTGGTCATCTGTTCTGTTTTTGGGAGGCAGATACCCAGGGAACAGGCTTCTACAGCCTCCTTCAGAAATTCATTTTCATGTTTAACAACATTCTCTGTGAGCAAGCTTTAATTGTGTCTTAACTTAAATTTTTTATATCATAACTTTAAAGTCTATAATATTTTTATATTTCCTCTGGGGAAATGGAGAACATTTGGTGATATCACTTCGAATAATTCTTTGAAGACTCCTGAATGTCATTGCGTCAGTTGTCTTTTTACGAAAATCATGTATCTTGATTCTTTTGTTTATTCTCAATCTCAACTGTCATCTTTCTTACACTTTTCAGAGTCCTCGCTAGTGCTAGTAAAAGTACTTAGACTTCTTTATACACTAGAGTTGCTCAGACACCCAGTGAGAAACCACCAGACCTCAAATCAGCCCTGTCCTTGCCTGAGTTTCTGTTTCTGTAGAATTAGGATGGATCCCAGGAAGTTGCATTTGGGCAAGTTTTATTGGTCTGGTAAGCATACCTAAAAAAGCAGTGGTTTATAAACTGTTAGACTGGGCAGCACTTGTAATTTAGGCCTGATGAGTCCAGTAATTCTTTATGGGAAAAGTAAGTAACATCAAAATAGTAGCTGTACTTCTTTATAGTAGTTTACTTAAGAAAATACTGGGGATTTCTGCTTTAGTTCACTGTGGCCTTAGAGAACCCATCTCTGCTATGAGCTCATAGGGTAGTGGTGGTAGTACCTCGTTCTCTTTCTCTTTCTCTTTCTCTTTCTCTTTCTCTTTCTCTTTCTCTTTCTCTTTCTCTTTCTCTTTCTCTTTCTCTTTCTCTTTCTCTTTCTCTTTCTTTCTCTCTCTCTCTTTCTCTTTCTCTTTCTCTTTCTTTTTCTTTCTCTTTTTTTTTTTTTTTTTTGACTTTTTGAGACAGGGTCTTTCGAGGTAGTTTAGGCTGGCCCTGAACTCACTACTAGTGCAGGCCTGCCTCAGCCTCCAAGGTGCTGTGATTACAGTTGTGCACCACCACACCTGGCTACCCTTCACTTTCTCAGAGCATTTTTGTTTCTAATGATTTGTGTTGTAATCTTTTAAAGAATTCCTTCAAATGTAACTAGCTACAATAAAAAAGTCAAGCTTTCTGATTGTTCTGTACCAAATTTTATCCTTTAAAACATTTTTAATGCTGCTGTGACTTTATACACAAAATGAATAGTTATAAAATAAGCCCGTTTTCACATGAAACAGTTGTCAGTTACCTCTCTCTGCTCTTCTTCTGTAATTATGCTTTTCTTTTTATTACCTGCTGTGACAAGAAGTGTCGTATATATATATATATGGTGGATGCCTATAATTCAGCACTTGGGAGGAGGCTGAGGCAGGCGAATAGCAAGTTCAAGTCTCACCTGGGCAACTTAATGAGACCCTGTCTCTGAGTGGTTAGGAACATACCTCAGTGCTACATTCACTCTCTACTACCAAAATAACAAAACAGTAAAACTACTTTTAGGCTACATAAATGTTAAATATATTTCCTGTGTGAATTTAATTACTTTGAGTTCTTTGTAAAATAAGACTAAGTGCAGTAAGTGTACTTTATTTGTGCCTTATGAGGATGTTTTGTTAGTCAGCATTTATCGTATTAATAACTATTATATAGGCATGATTCCAGAATCAGCGATCACTAAATTATATATGTTATAGTTCTAGTGTAAAATAACTTTTAATCTGTACATAGAGCTCTTGGTGGGGTATTTGAATAGTAATTGCTTATTTCTTGGCCCTACCAAATTTTATTGAAATATTATTTTCTAATTTTTTTATATTAAGAATGAAACTGTGAAGGGAGGAGGTTTTTGGTGGAGGACAGGAAGATGGAAAGGAAGAGAGAGAGAATGAACTACATAGTTGCTTTCCTGTGCATATAAACAAACTTTCTGAAAACTAATTTAGACAGACAACTTAAAATACACTATAGACTAGCCATTCTTAGAGTCAGAGAAGGCATGATTGAAATGGAGTATGGAAAAGAATAAAGTTTTAGGGATTAGTAACAAATTAGAACGATACAGATACATTGTTGCCCAGGAATGAAATTTGTTTTCTCCTGTTTATTAGTTTATGTGACTTAGCAAATTGTGAAGTCTTTCTAGATTTTAATTTTTTTATTCAAACATTATTCCCTGTGACACTGGAGAGCTAAATGAGATGATGTTCATGTCTAAATGTAGTGCAGAAAAACAGACAGAAAAAGTCTTGGGGATTCTGAGCAATTTAGGATGATGTTTTTTTTCTAGAAATCAAAAAATGCATGAATCTACATTAACTCAGCTGGGTTTCTGGTTATTGAGAGATCTCCAAGGAAATTCAGTGAGTGAAGTAAGGCAAAAGAATGCATCATTAGTACCTTGGTGTTGGCCTCACACCCTAATACAGAACGCTACTGCTTGTGTTAGACTGATCTCTATAATAGAATCAATGTGAGCTCAAACCTCTGCTCTGACTGATCCTGTTAAATTCCAAACCTATCTGTGATACTACCATTTCTAGTAAGAGAGAGAAAGCCAAAGAAAGAATGAGACTTCGTATTTACCCTAGGATTTAAGGAGCAAATATTTCAGAAGCAGGAGAGCAGAAGAGGCTGTTGTCTTAGTAGGCAGTGCACAGCCTCTGCTAGTCTTGAGTAGTGCTTTTGAAAGTGCCTGTCCCAAAAAAGGAGGAAGAAGAGGAAAAAGACAAAAGACCCTCCCCGTGTGTGTCATGTGTCTTCTGACCCTCTTGGAAACTCTTTCTGGGGGCCTGAGGCCCAGACTTGATTACTGGAGCTTCTCCACAGCAGGTCAAGTGTTCAAGAGTATAGGGAGAAATCTCTAGATTCCTCTCCCCCAAGGCTGAAAGTAGTCTCATGAGTTCTGTAATTAGTAAGCCTTAGATAACAGTTTTCAGCATTTGGAAATTTGAGAGTAGAAAGAAAATGGAGAACTGATGGATTTATGACTAAGTAAGAAAGGTTGTAAGACTCTTGCTAGAAGACAGGCAACCCTGAATACACTGAATTTACCACTCTAGTGAGAGCTTCAGAAAGACATTGCCATTTGAGTTCAGAAACTAAGTCTTAATAATTTTGTTATCACTGATTATTTTGTTAGAAAATAAAATGGCAAATAATTTTTTAATAATTAATATAGTAGTTTTCCTCAGATCTTTTTCTTTCCACTCATGCCTTGAAGGAGGTATGATTTTAATGTTTTACACACTTACCTCTATTGCTTTATTGTAGTTATTTGACAGCTTGTTAAGCCAAAATGTAAACATTAATTTTAAATGACAGGTTAGCATAAAAATATTTTGTTAGAAGTCCAACTGCTTCAGGACCTTTGTGCGGTGCTGCGGAGCCCCTTTCACAGTACTGAAAGGGCTTTCAATATTGTGATTTTTTTTCCTATGAGATGGGGGGACATAAAAAGAATTAAGTGTGTTACATACTTGTACCAACTCCCCATGAGGAATGTAACTGTTATGTGCTACAAATATGTACTAATAAAAGTAATTATTTAAAAAGTCTGATAGTGATAGATTTTCTATTCTTTTAAATGTGAACCAGGTGGCAAAATTTTACTAGTGACTGAGTCTCAGCAATATCAATATTAACCACAAGATGGCTACACCACCTTAAAATTTAAAGGAAATTACTGCCATCTCACTTGGAGTCTAAAAAGTAGATCTTTCAAAAATAGAAAATAATTTGATAAAGTCTCAATTTTTAGTTTAAATGTTTTTATGTTTAATCTTTAAATACTGTGATTTGTCAACATCTATTTTAGTGAGCCATTAAACGTGAACTTGCATTTTCAGAAAAATGAATTAGTAAACATGGTTTTATACTTTATGTATAACTGCTGATTTATAATTATTAGTAGGACTTCTGTGGAATTTAAAAGACTACTTAAGACATTGTATATTACTAAGATGCTCTTGATAATCTCTTTTGCCTTATTTTTTCCTGTCAGAAAACAGAAAGAGGTAAAGAACAGAGATGGGAAATTGACAAATGACAGAGAGGAGGAAGCTTCTTTTGCAACACTACCATTTCATTTGCTATAATTACTCTTAAGTTATTGCACAAGAGCAAACTGTTGGCTGTTTTTATTTTGCTGGGTAAATGGATGCTTTTAACTTTATAGGATTTGCCTTTGGAAAAACTTGTTCAAGATTATATTGTCTATTTGAGTTACCAGGCATTTATGAAATGTTTTGAAATTCCTAAAGGCTAGAAACTTGGTCGTCTTGTGGAGTTGGTACATGTACATAATATAGCTTGTTTCTTCTCTAACGCCCTTCCGTCTGCCACCCTCCCTGCTCTGTAGTTTTCCTTTCCTCTTTTTCATTCTTCCTGATATTGCCAGTCTTAGTTCAGGCCTGTGCAGACCGTGTCTGCCTTCCTTGAGGTTACCAGCTCCTGTGTCGGGTGCATCCTCACTCCGTTCCCTTCCTTTCTCTTTATCTCTCCCCGTTGGTCACCTAGATCCCTTCCCGTCTGCAAGGGTCCATCTCCGTGTCTTTCGTTCTATTCTTCCTTTATTCTTTTTTTAGTTTATACTCTGCCTTACTCAGATGAGAGATACTACATGGTATTTTAAATTTGTGTGTCTGATTTATTTTAGTCAACATTCTATTTTCTAAGTTCTTCCATTTTCCTACAAATGTCTTTGTAGGAAGTTTGTCCTTTTGTAGCCAAGTTGTGTTCTCCCACCTATTTTTATGGCTGCTTTTAGATGATTTTAGAGTCTTAGAGTCATCATGTTTTATTCTATTGTTTATATTTTATTTAGGTCTAGTACTTCTTATGTTTTGCCCGTGGAGCATAATAAACCATATATTATGAATAGAATAATGAAAACTTTATTATATTTGATGGCTTAATAGAGTATTTCTGAATTGTGGAACTACTAACATTAAGACTTGATAATTCAAATTGAGAAGTGACTATCAAGAGAGTTTGTGTAATCTGGGAGTTTCTCTTGGGGCTATTTAATAAACAGTACCTACCTTTCTACTCTGCTTTGAGCCAGTGGGGAAGTTAAAGTGGCAATAGTAGCCCAGAGTACCAACTTCATTACTAACAATAGTTTATTTGGAAGACGTGGCTAAGAGAGACCCATTCATTGAACCGCAAACAGGCGGACTTGTACACTTATTTGTGGCATTTGCTGTTGAAGGCTGAGTCAGTGCTTCCTTCCCCAGGGCTCCTGACTAGCTTACAGGTGGAAGGAGGAAGCGGTTGAGATCATGTACAGTTTGTTATTTATAGACAAGTCATTCCATAGTGGGTATCTTAGTGAGCTGAGGCTTTAAAACAAGTTAACACAAACATGGTGGCTTAAAACGGGAAATCTGTTTTCTCACATTTTGTAGGCTTGCGCTCTAAAATCCAGGTGTTAGCAGATCTGTTTCCTACGGAAGACCCTGAGAAAAATCTGCTCCTTGCTTCTCCCCTAACTTTTGGTGGCTGTTGGGTACTTGGTGTCCAGTTTTGGTTTGTAGATGGGTAATTTCAGTTTTCACCTCCATTTTGTGTCGTATTTATCCTTCAGTTTATTCTCCCTTTTAAGGGTATTTATTTAGGGCCCACACTAATCCAGGATATTCTGAGCTCTGGATTTCTGGATCTTTAATTATATCTGAAAAGATCCTTTACCCAAATGATGTCACGTTCTCAGTTCCAGGTGAATTTATCTTTTGGAGGAACCAGTGTTGAATACAGAAGGAATGGAGAGACCAGGAGTTAGATTAACTAACAAAGAAACTGCTTGCTGGGAAACATCAGGACTTGTTGATTCTTATTTGCCAGCTTTTTATTCTGATGGTCAGCCAGTTGTAGATTAACAAATAGTTTTATTCTTAGCCTTTTTTGCATTGTTAGCATATATTTAATTTGTGTGGTTTTTTTTTTTCTTTTTTGGTAGAATCTTTTAAGGTACTATAACGTGTCTACATTGTGAAACATCATTGGTTAAAATTAGATAATGTAGCCTATTTAACTTCATGAATAAGAGATAATTTGTTACAGTTTAAAAGCAAACAAACCAGTGAAGGTGTCATGGTAACAGCCCTAGAGTATAGTATTCCCAAAATGTATGATGATGCCTTGTGACCTTTTATGTTTTGTGTACTGAGTGAGGGTGGCCTAGTTGCTCTGCAAAGCAGCAAGCAGGTGACTTAGTAAAATTTAATTTCTTTCTTAATAAGAATTAAGTAGAAGCAAATGTTTTTCTCCCACTTAACAGTGAAAATGTATATATAGGATACATTAGCTCAACTTTGGGACTAATAAAACTAGATCACCACTAGTGGGCTTTTCACAGTGATACCCAAATACAGAGAACTTGATATATAATTAGTGCAAGTGACCAACTGAATTTTTAATTTCATTTAATTTTAATTTAAATGAAAATTTAAGTAGTCATATGTCACTGGTGGGGACATTAGACAGCACATGCCAGACATTTTTCAGTACCTAGGTTAAGAATATTGGGAAAAAAGTAGAGTGTTGAACATTATGATAGCCACAACCTGCCTATAATTTAGCTTAAATGTCCTTATTTTAATAACATTAACAAAAGTCAAAGAAAAATTCATTCTGAATTAGCAGCTTATCTACCCTTGTTAAGAGTATTGAACTTATTTTAGCGTGGAGTTTTTTCCCTAATTGGAAGATGAAATTTTAGGTTCTTTTTTAAAAAAATATTTCTCTAGATCTAAATTTATAACAGAATTGTTTTTGCAGACAAAATACTGGTAAATAAGGTTTAAGATTTTTCAGCTGAAGAATATGCTTGCTCAAGAAACTAAGTAAATTTTTACCAAACTTTTTACTAAAAACATAATTTAATATGCACAAAAATGTTTTACTTGAGTAATTAAAAATAGCCTCTTCCTTTAAAGTATTATACCATATAAGTATACATTTTATTATGTGGAAATATTTTTGTTAAATTTGTTTAAGTAGAGTTTACTGTAATTTCTCAACTTTGTCATGAGCATTTTATTATATAAACTTTCAACTTTAGAGCTAATTAACCCATTGCTTTTTGTCTTTGAATGAAATTTGGCCAGACAGAACATTTCTTTTCCCTGCTGTCAGCACATGTAATACAGCATTAGATTTAATGTCATTTTAAAAAGGAAATATGGAAATAAGTCAAGTATAATTCACATTTCTTGAACTTTTTATAGTTTTTCTTTTCTTTTTTTTTTGGTACCGGGGATTGAACTCTTGACCTTCCACTTGCCAGGCAAGTGTTTATGCCACACATTTAAATCCCTAGCCTGAACTTTTTATAGTTTAACTTTGGGATATTGTATTTTTCATTTATACCAGAAGAGGGTGCACTTTCAATCTGATATCCGAACAGAAAGCATTCTTTGGAACAGATGTCCTTAAGAAACTTCCAAGTTTTTTATTTCCATAATGTCCCTTATTGTCCCCAACAAGAGGAGGTTGAGGAGCAGGTTATATATTGGGCCTTTAGAGCACCTAAGACTGAAAGCATGCATTAATAAACATTTCATTCCAAAATATAACTTTATTTCTTATTACTATCTAAAAATGAATTTAGGAATTTTTTTTTTTTTAATCTTTTTGAGACAGAGTCTTGCTATGCAGTTCAGGCTGACCTTGAGCTCACTTTGTAGCCCAGGCTGGGCTCGAACTCGCAATGATCCACCCACCTCAGCCTCTCGAGTGCTGGGATTATAGGCGTGAGCCACCATGCCCGGCTCTAGGATTTGTTTTAAATTGTTCTTCAGAGAACCCTTTTGAAATTTATCTGTAAATACCAAAAAGCTGCTTGATAGATCTCTATATTTATGTAATGGCTAATTATACAGTATTTCAGTTTCAACTAATTGAAATTATTTTTATAAATCATAATGCATGATCATTAAGAAAAAGAGAAACCCTATAAACAAAAACATAGGAAGTGATTTTTATTCTTTTGTGTTTTGACAGCTTGAAGGTCCTTGTGTTTTGCAAATTCAAAAAATTCGCAATGTTGCTGCACCAAAGGATAACGAAGAATCTCAGGCTGCACCAAGGATGCTGCGTTTGCAGATGACTGATGGTCATATCAGTTGCACAGCAGTAGAATTTAGTTATATGTCAAAAATAAGGTGATTGGTTCTTTACTATACATATTTTTTAAAAGACTATTTGAAGGTGCTATTCAAAATAGATTTTAATAACTTTGGAGAGAAGGAATGAACTCAAATGCATGTTATAATTTTTCAGAAGAAGTTATAGACCTTTGTGTTTTAGGTTTATCTGTATAAAAAAATCGCTAAGCATGGAATTAGTTACTCTTTGATTCAGGGTTAATTAAAAACATATTTAATATGTCCTCATATGGAGATTGAGTCTTTCTGCTTTTTTCAAAGAAAATTTAGGTCATTCATTGTTCACAATTTCTTTAAAGACATTATGGCTTCTTAGTAGCTAATCTTTTGTGTGTAAGTATGTCTTTGATATTATTTTGTGTTCTAGCAATATCTTGTGGTCTAATGAGTTTTCTTAGGAAATGATTGAAGCTAGAGCGGTTTACATGTTCCTCACTTGCTGAGACAAGGAAGAACTGCTGAGCAATGGTTCTTCAAGTCCTTGTGGTTATTTATTGATTTATTTATTTTGGGTACTGGGGATCGAACTCACAACTTTGCACTTGCCAGGCAGGTGCTTATGCTGCTGAGCTAAATCCTCAACCCCCTATTTTTTTTTTTTTAAGTCAGTACTGGGGTTTGAACCTGGCGCTGTACGTGCTAGGCAAGCGCTTACCCCTAAGTTGTATCTTCAGCCTGCTTTTGGCTATTTTTATGAGAGGCGTTTAGAGTCATGCCTATTTGGAGGAATGAGGAGGAAGGGAAACTGTCTCCTTTATCCTATCCCCTGTTAGGCTGAGCTGAGCTCTATTTTGTGAGATGAAAACTCTCATTAGATATGTGCAAACTATATCACTGTTCCTATTTTTTCTCAGTCATTTTATATTGTCATGTTTGTTGCTCTGGGTCCTTTGAGCTTTTTCACTTTGTATATACACTCCTTCTTAGACCACATTTTTCTCTTGAGCAAATGTTTATCAAGTATTCAGCATCTACTATATTCGAACTCCTCTGGGTACTGCTGGAGATACAAAGGTAGATTTCGCTTCCCAGTAACTCTCCAGCTAGCAAGATAGGTGCGTGGGGTACAGTTAGCTTTCTGGAGCTTAGAACATTAGTTCCACCTGGGGAAGTAAGGAGTTGAATTTAAAATACAAGCAGATGTTTTGAGAGCTGAGGAGACTTAATATCCTGACCATAAGGGAGTGAGAAGTTCTGTCTGGTCACGTATACGTAATGTGGAACGGTTGTATGTGAGAGGAAACGCAGGTTGAGGCCTTGTGTTCCATCCTCAGTAATTTCCATTTTGTCTTCATTCAACTGGTGTCTTTCTTTGATAAGGGAGCCTTCTGCCTTGGAAAATACATATTTTTCTAAAATACTTATTTCTTAGTGACATTGTATTATGTTGTCTTCTTTTGAAAAGTTGAAGGATTTATACCTTTGTGGAAAAATAGCCTTTCTTTGACAAGTTTAGTGAGACCCCCTACAAGAGAGTTCACAGTGAAGACTTGCCATATAGTAGCTTATTTTCTGATACTAAAGCCATGTATTTTCAGAGGTAAATGAAAACACAGATTTAGTCTGCAGTGGAGATTCTGCTTACTAGTGCTCACTGTCCTCTTTTGTTGGATTTATGGTAGTTTGACAACTGAAAACAAATCGTATGGTAATTCACTCATCATTGAAGCAGTATATTGTAATATACTGCTCTTTAGTATACTCCTCTTTCTGGGAGGAGGCACAAAAATGGTAGTTTACAAAATTGTGTGTGCATATGAACAAGATACAAAATTTCTTTATTTCCTGAATTTGGTTAGTGGTTTTTAGAAGGCATGTAAAAGAATCCCTTAAATAGGATAAACCAGATGTTGATACGGAATGTGTTGCTTCAAACAAGCATTGCATTTATCTAAGATACTTCTTTGTATTTTCTTTCCTACCTCCTGCCCCACTTATTACTGGTATTTTTTATGTTTTTCATTGCAGTGAGAAAGAGTAAAGTTGCCTTGTGGTGCCAATTAGAATAGCAGTTAAACCACGATATGCTGTCTAAGAGTTAATTATGGTCCTGGAAGTAATTTAGTAAACACTTACATTAAAATTTTACCTCTTAATTTTCTTTTATTATAATTTAATTTAACATGCTAGTACTATAGTACTATAGTACTCTGCCAGTTGTCCTAACGAAGTTATAGGTCCACTGTGAAATATTTTTACTATTTGGGAGAATTGAGGATGGTGTATTCATTTTACATAGAAGTTATTTGCTTAAATTACACAGTTTTCTATCTTGCTAATTTTGAATGTTTGTAATTGTCACTGCATTTTAAACTTTTATTAGTGCATGTGTGCAGTACATAATGATTGCTTTCACTGTGGGGGTTGGTACATGTGCATAACACACCTCAGTGTCCTTCTTCACCCCTTCCCGCCACTTCCATTTTGTTTTTCTACCATCAGATTCATTTATTCATAAGACCTTATAAAGTTAATTGTCATATATACAGATTGAAAAGCAGACTGGTAGACCGAAGAATATATAAAACATGTAGGGCAATTGTATTAAATCAAGATACACTTTTAGGTACATTGGCCACACTGGATTGCATTATTTTTGTTTTCCTTTTTCTGTTTTCCTGTTATCTTTTATTTTGTAATATTCATATATCTTCCTGTAAGAGAACCCATGTGATATTTAAGCTCATGTGTCTGAGTTAATCAACATTCAGCCTAAAGATGCATCCATTTTCCTACAGATTACTCATTTACCCTTTTTCAGGGCAGATGATTACGCCATTGCATATAAATACCACGTTTTTAATCCATTCATCTGTTGAAGGACACGATACATAGGCTCTTTTAAGATTTAACTATTATGAATTGCACTCTATAAACATGGGTATGTGTACATTCTCATCACATTTTTCAGATTTACAATTCTGGAAGAAATCATTGGATAAAAGTGGTTTTGAAGAAAAGATAGGTCTTAGATAAGTGATGCAAACAGTGAAATCTAGGGGAAGGAGAAGGTTTGGAAGACCAGCTATAGGGCTCCTGTTCTTGCTGGGCCTCAGTCATCCACAGTATTCAGTACTGTGACTGCTCCATTAATTATGAGGTTTGGGTGAACACTGTAACAGGCTGGAACAACCTCATGTTGCATGCCAAAATTTGTTGCCAGCAAGCATGGCTCTTTGCCTTTAGTAATAGTGAAAGTCAAAATTAAAGCAAAAAGTTACAGTAAAAGACTTCAATTAGAAAGTAAGCAAAAATGCTGAGACTTTAGTTTTGCTGGCCCTTATCAAGGGAGGGAAGAAGTGATAGGAAAGGATTCCAGATTGAACAGCCGGAGGAGGGGACATATTTAGACTGGCCCCCACGTTGTTTTTTAAAACCGTGTGAAAACTAAAGGTGATATTTTTATTATTGAGCTAGGAAATGTGAGTCTTTTAATTTCCTCCCTGGTGATATGTTCATACATAACTAGCTAATCTCCTGAAGAATTATTCTGTTAATACATTTTAAAGAACTTGATTAAGTCATATGAGACTGAATTCTAGCTTTTGTGGAGGAGCCTTAATTTTTTTTTTTTTCCCCCTTTGCTTTAGCCTAAACACACCACCTGGAACCAAAGTCAAGCTGTCAGGCAATGTTGACATAAAAAACGGATTCCTGCTCTTGAATGACTCTAACACCACAGTTCTTGGTGGTGAAGTGGAACACCTTGTTGAGAAATGGGAGTTACAGAGAGTGAGTATAATCTAAGAAGAATGAACTTGAAAACATTACATTATTTTTATTGTGTTCTTAGTTGAAGGAATTCTCCCCAAGAGGAGTAATAAATTTAGTTCTTTTGTCAGAGTAGAATGCAATGAATAGATGGTGACCTTTAGAGAAATTATCTACTTTTGCTAAATACATCCTTCCTTTAAAGTGGTACATTTTATTACATATAAAAAAATCTTTCTTTAGAGACAAGTTTCAAAATTGCCAAGATAGCAGTTATGAGCTGTGTATATCTCTGTATATTTCTTTCTGCGAAGGACAAACGTCTGTGCATATACCAGTGTGCATGTGCTCGTTTTTACTGCATACACACATGCATGCAAGAAAGGCACATTCGAATCTCACTGTAATTCTGAAGTGGTTCTTGCTGCACTTGTTTTCCTTGTTGCATTAGTTGGCGTTTTTCCCCAGCCATGTGTCGAGTACCTTTTTTGCGAGTTACGGAGGTTAGCTTGTAATTGTTTCTTCACTGTGTTTCTGCCCACTAGTTCTTCCATCTGTAACTGCCAAATCCCGTATCAGATCCTTGCTGTCCGTTTCCAGTGCTGTTCTTGTGGTGTACATGTTTAGGAGCTCTTGCCTGAACTCACGAATTGCTATTTCCTGGTCATGCTGCATCTCCTTTCTTTATCTTTTAATTTATCTCAGGGCTTCGTTACATTACCTTTTGTTCAGCGTAGTTCAGAACATGTCACATCCTGCTTTTATTCCAAGAAGCTTGATTTAAGCTTCACGGCCTGCCGTGTCCGAGCCCTAGTTTCCCTTTACCTTTGTAGTTTTCTGAATTCTTACACGTAGATTTTCTGATCGCCAAAATACTTCTCCTTTGATTCTTTAGGCTTTCTTCAGTTATACTTTTTTGACAAAGACGATTTTCCTACTTTTAAGTCATTTATCTTGATTTCTCTCTCTTAATTATTTCTAGGCAAATTATTTCCATGTTTTTTAGACCCAGATGAAATGCTTAGCAAGTAGTTGTTCCTTTACGAATTTTGGAAACATATTTTCCATAAAATTTCCATATTAATAATAGTTTTACTCTGTCACTCAAATTATTTTATTTTTCATCTCCTATAATATGTTCTTGTTGGGTTGAACCACCAATAGTATGAGTTTGACTATTCCAGTAGGTGGTTTGTACCTCTGATGATACAAACAGATCTAATCACCTTTATGGATTTTTTTTTACTAATAAATTAATAAAAAGCCAGCTAATGGAGCAGTCAAAAATACACCACTGGTGGTTCAAGCCACCAGTTAACAAGATGTACAAATTATAGCTCAACTGAGAATGTGTTGAGACTATAATTTTCTTGAGGGTCAGGATTTGTATTTGTCTCACCTTTGTTCAATTTTACAAATATTTGTTGAATAGTGTGATAATTATCCTATTCAGACACACCTGTAAGTATGCTTTACTAATCTTCTAGTTGTCTCTTAATATAATCAAATTACCAATCAAGATTAAACAATGAAAGCTCAAACTGATTTTTTTTTTTTTTAATACTGGGGATCAAACTCATGACTTTGCATTTACCAGGCACGCGCTTATGCCACTGAGCTAAATTCTTGGCCCAGACTGATTTTTTTGATGCTAACAGAGAGTTAGCATCAGTAGTTTTATTCCTTTTTATCTAAAATAAAAATAGAAATAAAAATAAAAAAGATTAATCTTCACACAGTACGTAAATGTGCTGGGCTCTTGAATCTGTGTTTCCCTGATTCTTCTTTGTAAGGAGACATCATTTCCATATAATCAAAAAATATACTCTTAAAAAGTGTTGAATAGCTTACTTTGTGATTAGACAGCTAATGGGTGAGTTATAGATCTGAGCAAAATCTACAATAATTTTGTTGTTACTGTAAGTTTTGATAAGTAGGCACATGAAGTACTAAAGCATTTGAGGTTGGAATGTCAGAAAACACTAGCATCTTATCATTATAAACTCACATCCACTTGGTCTTCATAGTGATTTGCTCACAGTCCCTTACTATGAGAAACAGGGCTGTGGCCAGGCCCCAAATCAGAATCCAAAGTGTGTCTCTCATCTCTGACAGATAAAGTGAGTTCTTGCTTTGTAAACTGGTAACCACAAGCACACCATCACTACAAAATGTAAAATCAGAGTCAGAAGAGTCAAGTGGAAAGATCCAAAATATGTAAAGTGGTGGTGCTCCATTGCCTTATGATGTTACAATCCATTTCAGAGAGACACACCCTAATGTCCTGACCCTTTGTCACTGTGTTTTTCATTGAGCTCACTGGTGGCTATGGATGTGTTTATCACTTCACCCAACAATTATGTCCTTTACAGTGCTCCCTTCAGCATCCATGACTTCCACTGAGGTCTCATTTATTGAAGACCTCCCCATCGGCCTAGTGAACCTCCGCTTTTTCTACTAAGGACCTCAATCCTTTTCATCAGGTATATTTCCAATGCTTGTGTAGGTTAGAAAATCAGGAGCATCGCGATCATTTAAAATTCTGTTTAAAATTGTTTCAGAGCAGCCTATACTCTCTCCAAAGTAGTAGCCCTGAGTCTTACATATAAAAGATACCATATAAATAGTTGTGGAATGAATTACAAAGCATGCAGAGTTAATTGCTTTTCAAACTGAATTTCCAATGCCACCTTTTGGTGTTGTGTATTCTTAGGAACTAGCCAAGGGCTTGGCAATATTTCCACCTTTTTGGTATTTTATGATATGTTACTTTGTCCTTGCTTCTTAATTGGAAAGTACCTGTGTTTGGGAGATAAATGGTAAGTACCTGTGTTTAGGACTAATTTCTGAGTAGTTGTTCCTTAAGTTATAATGTACCACATTTTGGACTGCTGTACTGTGCAGTATAAATAATGTTCTACAGTTGCATTGTTTAATTGAAAATATTACAAAAGATTCAGAAGTGGCTTAATAGTTTTTACATAAACAGCTGAGTTTATAAACTTTGAATTTCTTAGAGAAATCCCAACTGTTTCATATTAACTGTTATAAGTTGATGTATTATATTTTTGTTATCATTAGAGATACTTTAAAATGCAATAAAGTGTTCTCAAGTCAGACCAGCTGCTGAGATATTTTTCCCATGTCCCAGCCAAAATACTTAAACGTATTCACTAATATGATTAAGTCATTTAAACTTTGTAGGGACATTCTCACCCTACTCAAAACACACACACACACACACACACACACACACACACACACACACACATACACACACACAGAGTTTAAAATCATTTAATAGCTGTTCTTGAAGTGTTTTATTGTGTGTTTCTGCACTTCAGTGTTATATTAGTATCTTGTTAGGGATAATAAAAATGTATGTTTCAGTTAGTTTTAAAATATCTTACTATGACTATAGCTCTTACTTGATGACCACAGAAATGAAGGAAACATAAAGAGTATAGTTTGTTATGTAGTTAGCAGGTGGTACACATAAAAACAAACATATGCATAAAAATCATAAATCATAGAATTACTTTTAGATATAAGCAGGTCCTAAATATTCTTACAGGGAAAGGGAACAATCTTGTAAATTAGGGAAAGAGAAACTGCATGCAGGTGGTGTTTACAAAATGGTAAAGAAAAAGAGAAAAGCGTCCTCAATGGTAGTGCTTTGTATTTGTAGGATTGTACAATTCTATACTAGTTGTATTGCAGAATAGTGTAGTTCTGTAACATTTTAGTGCTCCCAAATGTTTGATCTTTTTCTTCTTCTTAAAAATTCTAGTAAAGTGTACATAGCGTATCATCGAACATTTTAGCTGTTTTTCACTGTGAAACTTAGTGGCATTAGTTACATTTACATTGTTGTGGAACCATTGCTACTGTCGGTTTCCCCATCATTTTCATTTCCTCAAACCAAACTTTTGTCTGCTAACCCCCCACTCCTCACTTTTCCAGTCCCTGGCAGTCTTACCCAACTTTCTGTCTTTATGATTGGATTGTTCGGAGTACCTCATGCAAGTAGGACCATGTAGTATTTGCCCTTTTGTGTCTGGCTTATTTCACTTAAGATAATAACATCAGGGTTCATCTATGTTGTAGCATGCTTCAAAATTTCCCTCCTTTTTGAGGCTGAATCGTATGATCAATACATTATATGTACATACATATTATATCGAACAATACATTTATATATTACTGTTGTGATTTCATCATCAGTGGACATTTGTGTTTCCACTTTTTGGATTATGAATAATCCTGCATGAACAGATACTTGTCTGAATTTGTGTTTTCACTTCCTTTGTATTAAATGCTCAGAAATGAAATTGCTGTCATATGATAATTTTTTGTAGAGGGGAAACTGTCATTCTATTTTCCACAGTAGAAATATCATTTTATGTTCTCACCATCAAAAGTATAGGACTTCCCATTTCTCCACATCCTCACCAAAATTTGTTATTTTGTGTGTGTGTGTGTGTGTGTGTTTGTAGTAGCCATTCTAGTCGTATGTGGAATAGAATCTCATTGTGGTTTTCATTTGCATTTCTGATATTTAGTCATGTGAAACATCTTTTCGTGAGATTGATATTCTCTGCAGTTTTCCATGCTGTCTCCATCATGCCTTTAAACATAAAGCAAGAGTTCTCTGGTTCTTTTCTCTTTCTTTTTCATACATCATATGGAATTCATATCTGTGCATGATATATCTTTTTCTTCTTGTTTTCTCATTCCTTTACTCTCCCTTCAACCCATTTTCCTCCTCCTTATTTACACAGCTTTCATTTTTTTCTTCAATTTTTTCCTTTTCCCTTCCTTCCTTTCTCCCCTTCGTACTTCTCTTTTCTATTTGAACATTTCTTCCCATTTCACAGTATCTATTTTAATTGTCCCTTATTTATATTTTATTTCTCATGTCAACAAAACAATGAAGTATTTACATGTGTGTCCAATTTTTTTTTCACTTAGAGTATATTCTCAAGGTGTATCCATCTACATAGAAATATCTCAGATTTATCCTTCTTTATGGCACAGTAGTACTCCATCGTATAAAAAACTCACATCTTCTTCATCCCTTCATTGGTTGATGGGCTTTTGGGCTGTTTACAGCATTTAGCTATTACAAATTGTGCTGCTGTAAACATAGGTGTACACTCATTGAGGTATGATGATATTAATTCTTCTGGGAAGATACCAAGAAGAGGAATAGCTAGGCTGAATGGAACCTCTAATTTTAGTTTTTTGAGGACTTTCCACACTGATGTATGCAGTGTTGCGCCAGTCTGTACCCCATCAACAGAAGAGAAGAATTCTTTTTCCCCACAGCCCTCCAGCATTTGATATTGATTGATTTGTTTATAATGGCCATTTTTTCTAGAGTGTGATGGAATTCTAGTGTTGTTTTACTGTGATCTCTTGAGTGACCCCTGATGTTGGACATTTTTTCATGTATTTATTGGCCCTTCCAACTTTAACTGAGAAGTGTCTGTTCATTTCAGGTACCCATTTTTGGATTGGATCTTTAGATTTGGGGGTCTGATTTTTTTGAGTTCTAGGTGGTAGTCCTTTGAGGAACACCAGGCAAATTTTTTTCCTACTCTGAGTTGTTTCTTCACTGTTGATAGTTTATTTTGCTGTGCAAAAGCTTTTTAATGAGATGAGATCCAACTTGTTGATTCTTTGTGGTATTTCCTGTGCAATTGAGATTTTGTTCATAAAGTCTTTGCCTATACTTATGTCTTCAAGAGTTTTGTCTATCTTCCAGTGTTTAGTGTTTCTGTTGTAATACTCAGATTAGCTTTGGAACATTCTGATTTTAGTTTCATGCATGGTGAGATATGGGTCTAATTTTATCTTTGGCAAGCAGCTCCGTTTACTAAAGAAGCCAAGTGTGGTTGGAGTTGTTTCTGCATCTTGGCTTGGAGTTGTTAGATGGAGCCAACAACTGCTACTGTTTGTGGTTTCTGACTTCAGTTGACCCCTTTCCAAAATGGGTACCAGCTACCGCTTTCTCACGGGAGGTTATCTGAAACTGAATAACTCAATAGTCACTGCAGTCCACAGCCTCCGCGGCTCTGTTCCACGGGTGCATTTCTCCAGGGAGGCCTCGGGGGTTGCCAGTACTCAGCATGCCTCTTAAACTGCTCCTCCCCTGCACGAGGCCGGACTCAAGGAGAAAGCACTGCTTGCCACCTCCCTCTTTGGTGTTGCGGCCTCTCTTCACTGCCCTTGTAGGCCTAATTCTTGCTATAGACCCTTGCTCCACTTCCTGCTGTCTCTTCTTTACATTGCTATAGTCCAGCATCTGGATTCTAAATATCAGAGCGATGTTTGTGAGTTCAGTCCCTGGTAACAAAACAAAACAAACAGCCCAAAAAAAACATTAGAGAGGCTTTTTCTCTGCTGCTTACCATTCTGCATCTTTCCAAAAGTATATAATAATTACTAAAAGTACAGAAAGAGGTAAAAATAGGAAGTGCTTAACAAATACACGTTAATGTTAATATAGCAAATCATTTAAGGATTGGGTGCAGTAAAAGAGACCTGTTGAAGGTTCTTTATGGCATCTTTTTCCTTTCTCTTTCTCTCTTTTTTCTTTTTTTTTTTTAAATTGTCCTAGAATTTTATGGCATTTTGAAAGGACTTTCAAATCTGAGAACTTGGTTTTGCTAGAAGAATATTTCTGTTTTCAGAAACATTTTTGTTTTTCTAATACTGTGACAATTTGAGAAAACAACCCTGAAATTAGTAGTTTAGAAACTTATTTTTATTAAACAATTCAATATTTCAAAGTATAATTTAAGATAATAAGTGAAAACTGAAAAGGAATTCCACCTTAGGTATTATAACTAGGATCTCTTGAAATAATTAGAAATAACATTTATGAATATGTTGTTTGCTAATAATTTGATGTTTCAAGCTTCACTTTGAAGCTTCAAGATTATATTTGTCTGTTACGTGTTTTAATGAAATTCTTGTTGCCAATGTTTGTTGTCTTAGACTTTGCTACTTTTTGGGGAGAACTTTCTCCTTACGAGAAAGGGTTGATAAACATTTCTCAAAAGTATATGTAAATGTGTGTTGGTAGGCGAGCTTAGAGAAAGCCTGTGTGTAGTTACTGAAAGGAAGAATAAAGTATTTTATATGCTACAGTTTAAAATAGTTCAAGAATGCTTTTTACTCTTTCTTATAATAATCTAAGTAATAGATTCCTGCTATATTATCAATGCATTTTTTGTTTATAGTTTCTGTTTTAATGATGGGTATTGTTTTTTTTTCTCACAGAGCTTGTCAAAACACAGTAGAAGCAACATTGGAACTGAAGGTGGACCACCTCCTTTTGTGCCTTTTGGACAGGTAATGATGTTCATTTTAGCAGATGAATTTAAATCAGGAAAAGTGGTTTTTATTTATACTTAAGCTGTGCTTAGTTTTGTGCTGACCTATTTGTTCAGAGGTCATTAAATTGTATGGAAATAGTTAACTTCATGGAATTAAATTTTGCTGTTCATTCAAAGATTAGAACAATTAAGAGCCATATTTGAAAAGCAAATCACAGTTCCTCAAGAAAGGATAACGGTGGTTTTAAGTTGTTTTTAATGGGAAATTCAAAAGCAAGAAGATAAACATAGCCCATAATTTCTTCCTGAGATTCTGTTCTACTGCCTCGATCTGAATATCCATCTCAGTCAGGGACTTAATTTGTCTTCCAGTTAATTTTTCCTTTTCAACAGTGGGAATCCTGCTTCTTAGACATAAACCACAGATTTTTCATCTTACTTTTCAACTTCCTGTTGCTACAAGGTGCTATCTTCAGGTCGTCCCTTCGCTCGTCCCTTAGCTAGCTAGGTCACGTGTGTTCCTCATCATGCTTAGTGTCAGACTTGCATTCGTAAGAGTGTCCTCAGCCCTTCTCTGACTTGTCCCTGACAAGTCTGAGAATAATCTCGGTGGCTGTCTGCTCTTCTGCTCATGTTGTTACCAAAATTTACCCCTCTAAAATAACTCCTGTGAAATAATCTCTGAAAAAAGCAGCTGTCATAAAACTGAAACTGTTGATTGTCTGCTTTGTATTCCCTTTTTAGTTTTCTTTAAAAGTGCCAACTTAGAATGAGGGTCAGTTGGGAACATAAAGGTAAATAGTAGAGATTAAATTCTGATAGCAAGTTTTATTTTATATTTTTCAAATGTTTTGATATAAAAAAATCTTCTTTATCAGAAGATAAATGAGTTATATCAGTTGATGGGAATCCTCTTCAGAAAATTCTTTATAAGATCTAGTCAAGATTAAATTAGATGGCACTTGTGTGTTGTTGTTTTTTTTTTTTTTTCTTTCTTTACTTGTGGACCAAGACTTAATGGACAGGTGCAGAAATAAATTCTATTTTGCAACCCAGAGCTCATTATTCAGAAAGAGTTTTGATGCATACAAGAAGGAGTATTTCTACCAGGTGCAGGACTGCAAACGTGTTATCCTGGGTCTCCTGAGGCCGAGGCAAGAGGAGTGAAGCCTGCACTGCGGTGAGACTCTGCCTCGAAAACAAAGCATAAGCGAAACGTTATGATAGCCTAATACAGCTTAAACTGACGGAAGGTGTGAATACCTGTTTTCAACAGATTAGAGTCATTCTTTCATTAAGGCTGTTTGCAAGTATTTTTAAAATGTGCATTTTTGTTCTGTCTTTTGGAATGAAACTGTGAACTCATGTGGTGTGACCCATGTTGATGATATTCTCTCAGTCCAATAAAAACCTTCAGAATGCAAAGTACAAATATCCTGATAAGTTTTATTTGAAAATAATAAACGACGTACTTTTGAGAATTTACTCTCAGATGTTTTTGTGATAAATATTTTCTTTCATTACTCAAGATATAACCTTCTTCCAGAAAGACTTATTGTCTAATTATTAAGAATCAAAGTATGTTTTATAATTTTTGGGGGCTAGGAAGTACAACAAAAGTTATAGTATTATTTATAAAGTTCATTTTGACAAATTCTTACGCAGCGCATTACAGTGTTATACATGGGTTATACAGATAAAGGTGGCCTCTTGTCCATATCAATAAGATACTTGCATTGCTAAAAATGTGCCATGTATATATATATATATATATATATATATATATATATATATATATAAAACACACTTGTTTGGCAAGATCTTTTCCTCTTCTGCTTATTAGTGAGCTATATAAAAGTTCATTTTATAGGATTTTATTGGTAGAATTGGAATGCAGACCAGAATTCAGGGCTTATTTTTAGGTATTGTTTAAGTTTTTTTATTATTTTATTGTCTTAATTACAATACACATGCAAAACTTCAAAGGTGACTTGGACAGAGGTTTAGCTTTTTGGGTTTAGCTGTTGGTTTTTAAATGCAGAAATATCTTTTTATATGTTAAAGTAACTATTCTAACCAACTCACATAAGGATATCGTGACATAATGTGGAAATGTTTTAATTACAGACTTCTTTCTTCTTGTACATTAGTTTGAAATCATGCTTACCTTTTTGTGTTCGTTAGACTATTTGAAGTGTAGAATTATGTCAGTTATTGCCATAAGTGAAGTTTAGCTCTCTTGGTCCAATATATCTTGGTCAAATATGTGCCTAAACTGGTTTAGATGACAGCATTTTTATATTGCTTTTTAACTTCAATTGAAATATTTGCTACATCCATTTGAAAGTTAGTTTAATCAGTTTTCTGCTTCTCTTTTGTAAATCTTTGGGATAGAATTGCATTTTACTGAACTCCTAGCTATTTCAAGTACTGCAAACCTTCTTTTGAAGAAATGCTATAGGGTGGATATTTAGCTCAGTGGCATAAGTGCCTGCCTGGCAAGCACAAGGTAGTGGGTTCAATCCCCGGTACCACCAAAAAAAAAAAAAAAGAAATAATAATAAATAAAAGGAAAAATAGTAAACTGGTTCTGTGCTATGTAATAGTGTTATGAAGAAATGTTACTTTATAATGAAAACTAACCTCTTAGAATTATTGAGATATTTTTATTTATTTTAGCAGAAGTGTTTATCTCATGTTCAAGTAGATAGCAGAGAACTTGATCGAAGAAAGACATTACAAGTTACAATGCCTGTCAAACCTGCAAATGATAATGATGAATTTGAAAAGCAAAGGACTGCTGCTATTGCGGAAGTTGCAAAGAGCAAAGAAGTAAGAAATTGTCATAAGTTTCTCTTACGTTTTTACTATGTTGTATTTAGATTATATCTGGTCAGTATTGTTCTTTTCATGTAAGATAAATAATTCATTCAACTTTTGACATTATCTTTCTTGCATATTCTGTAAGTGAAAACAGTGCCCTGCTGAGTCAAGGGGCCTTAATTTTGCATATTTTATTTATATGTTCTTTTTTCAGATCTCTTTGACAATTCCAGTAAATTTTTCTTGTTGACAAATCACCCTTTTGTTCCCCCTCTGCTTTTCAGTTTTTAAATTTTTTTTATTTTAAAAAAGCAAAACAGGAAAAAAATTGTTTCAAAAAAACAATAATAGCAAGAAATCATCACTAGTTAATATATTACATATTGCTCTCTCAGAAGTAGTTGTTCAAGTAACAGTGGAACACAACATTTTTTTATTATAGCAGAGGGTTTCCTGAGATTAGTTGGGCTGTTATTACTATCTTAGAACAGTTTTTCCCTATAATAGCATCCTTTGAGGAAGAGCAACTTCTGAGAAAAGAGTAAAAATCAAAGGATAAATCAGTAGACTACAGTTATAATTTTTGTCATTTTTTCTTTTAGAGTAAAAATTATTTCAATCTTCAGGAAAAAGTATAGTATATATCTTCCATTTTACAGGTTTTTTTAGCTAGAGGCTTTCTTTTTCTGTTCTGAGTTTCTTGATCTTTGGGAGTAGGTATCTTTTTTAGTTATTGATTATTTTAGGATTCGATAAGAAATTTTAGTTAATGATTTAGACGCTTAGACTTTTCTTAACCTTTGAGATGAAAAAGTTTCCTTTATTTAAAACCTGTAATGAAGTTTAACAACTGTTTTTCTGTTTAATTTCAAAGTTTAAATTGAATACTTTTTGGAATTTGGCATTTTTTTTCCATTGTTATTCTAGTGTAGGGACCAAAAGTACAACATGTGAAATCAGACAGCTTGATTATCCTATTGAACATCTTGAATCAATTTTTTTAGTACTTTGTGCCCAGTTTTATTCACCCATGGCATTTGGGGACAATAGAATCACCTGTCGTTGCTGTGTGAATTAAAATTGATAATACATGACAGAGATCATGCCCTTCCTTTGTTGAAAAATGACACTACTGCTATTTTTTATTATCTCTTCTATTCTAAAGTATCTTTTAAAAAATTAACATTACTTAATTATTGTTTTATATAGTTGACATAAAATCTTTATTTTTCAAAAAATATTGACATGTTGAGTTTTAGAACACATGCGTACACATATTCCTTAGTGATTGTGAGAAACTTGTTCTTTTTATTCACATGTACCTCAGACTTCTTAAGGAGTTCATTTGATGTAGTTAAAACTGTTTCTTTTTTATATTTAACATATTATAAATGTGCTGCATTTTTAAAGTAATACTTGATATTTTGTTTACTAATATGTTATAATTTAAGAATTAGAGTTTTTAAAAACTAAAACATTTAAAACTTATCAGTTTATATGTGAGAGAGTTGATAGAGTCTCAAAACTAGCAAATAAACTTGGGATTTTTCCCTGGTTACCCCCTGACAATGTTAAACTAAATCTATGTGTAGTGTAGTAAAAGATTTATGTCATAAACATTATAACATACAAAATAAGTTAACTGCATGTTGTAATTTTAAATGTAGCAATCTGATTAGGCCTCCAAGATAGTGAAAAGTCAAAAGTTGAAGGAATTAGCTATAAGAAGAGAAGTAGCAGATTGGCCTCTATTGAGAGAGAAATGGAGAGTTTTTGCCATCTATGAGTATTAATAACAGCAGCTGACTTGCATTTTAAAAGACTAATCCTGGCTACTGCACTTACACTGAGTTGTAAAAAAAGGAAAATGAAATTAGAAAAATTAGTAGGTCACTAAAGTAACTCAGGACCAAAAAAAAAAAAAAAAAAAAAAAGATGGTAGTTTGAGCAAAGAAAACAGCTATGTGGGTTCTCATGAAGTTCTCAGTTACTGAAATTTGAAAAACATAGCCATCAGGATTTCTGAAAGATTGAATATACAGCATGAGAGAAGATGAGATGTCAAGAATGAGTTGGAAATTTTACCTTGAAAAATTGACATTGACACTGAAATGGGAAAGTTTGGAGTAGCATATATATATAAGGAGATCAATTTCATGTTTCATTTTGAAAGTATGAATATTGAAGTAGGGTCCTGTTAGACATGCATATAGTAATGTTTAATAGGCAGTGAAATGCAGGAGTGTAGTTGGAAACAGCTTTGAAAGAGATGCATGTAGTTAAGAGTTACAGGGGTATGGAGGTATTTAAAATCATCAGGCCAAATCAGGTCACCAAAGAATGAGTGTTAAGAAAGAATAGGGCAAGGAATGAACTATGTGGCGTTGGCATGTTAGAGGCTGGATGAAAAAAGTTGAACCAGCTAGGGCGTGATCAATAGTATTTGTTAGAAACAAAGTAAGGGAGGAATTGTATCATGGTGAAGGGAGTGAAAAACTTATAAAGGGAAACTGAGAAGTCTTGCAATGAGATGACGACTGACAGTGTGGAATCATTCCTTCAACATTCTTGGTAGATGAAAAGCTATGCAAGTTCCATTTTTTTCTTTTAAAAAATATGCAACGTTAAAAGTGAGAGTAGGGGAGAAGGTGTTGGAGGGTTGGGAAGTAAGAATGTATGAAATAATGGTCAAGAAGTATGAGAGGGTGAATGGATTAAAGAAATGCAGAAGTGATAAAAATACATGGTGAATATTTAAATTTTGAAAAATTATTACAATAAGAGACGAGTTGCTATTAATTCCCTTCAGAATGTTCCCCCTAACTTTGAACACACCTTGCCACCATCTTTGTCATTTTCTGAAGCACTTCTGAAAATCTTCTTTCATTAGTGTTTTTATGAAGTATGATACAGTGAAGTGAATTACGGTGTCAAGTGCTATCCAGCAAAGACAGGCTCATGAAAACAGTACAGTGTGTTTTCATTCACTTTATTTACCAGATCTGGCACTGTACAACTTCTGCGTTTCCCACAAATGAAAATGACCATGAAAAGTAAATATTTTTCATTGATCCAGGATCATGACAGTGTAATTGAAGACACTCATGAAAGAGAACTAGAACAGCTTTAAAAAGAACAGTCTTAGAAGGATAAGTGTGTTCCAACCAAGAAAGATTTTTAGCATTGACAATATATATTTTTAATGAATTTTTTAAAAAATTAAACATTCACTGTAGTTTTTAATCACTCTCTATATAGTACAACTGCCAGATAATATCAGGAGTTCACTTGCATTTCAGTCATGATGATCTCAGTATGCCTAATTCACATATAATGAAAAACATGATGTAGTTACCTCATGTGTAATGTTTGCATTGTGATGGTTCTTAATACTTATATTTTTTGTAACAACTGCTTTAAAACAGTGAAAAGCAATTCTGAAAATTTCATTAATCCTGTTTCTTAATTTTTAAAATAGAAAATGATAAGCACAGAACTATTTCATTGGTTCCAAAAGGCAAAATACTTTTAGAATTAGGGGCCATAACTCCAGAAATGTATTTCATTTGGAACAAGTCAGGTTTCTAGTATATTATTATTACTCTTATTATTATTATTATTTTGGCACCAGGAATTGAACTCACGACCACATGCTCGCTAGGCAGGTACTGTGCCACTGAGCTATATCCCCAGCCCCTCTAATATATTATCCAAAACATAATTTTTCTGTTATTGAGGGCCATGTGCCACTTACTGAGTTAATCATTTCCTGTTGATAATATCATTTGATCCTCTCATGGTTGGTTTTTCTCATACCTCTTTAAATGATAAAACATGAAATGTAACAGTTGTATGATTTGCTTGAGGATAGGAGCTAGTAAGTAGCTCAGTGAAGATCAGTGTAAGCTAGCTAGTCTGCAGCATATGTACGTAAGTATGCTGGATTATCTGTCATCTAAAAACTTTGTGTCATATTAGTATAATATGTATAGTTTTCTTTACAATGGAAAGGTAATACTTCTGATGAGCACTGAGTCTGAGTAATTGCGTATACCTTAGGGCCCCCTGGGCTAGTCCAGGACACACCTGTAAGGGCCCTCGACACTTGTTTTTGGAATGTCTCTGTGTTATGACAAACAATTCCTTTGTTTCAACAAATCTGTTCAAGACTAGCCTGCCTGGGCCAGGGATTTAGCTCAGTGGCATAAGTGCCTGCCTGGCAAGTGCAAGGTTCTGAGTTCAATCTCCGGTGTTTTAAAAAAAAAAAAAAAAGCCTGCCTGTCAATATAATATAAGACTCAATGCATGTGACCAATTATGTAATGTTTTTGTCACTTGCTTTGTACCTCCCACTTCTAAGTGCTATATAAGGACTGGGATGTAGCTCAGTGGCACAATGCCTGCCTGGCAAGTGTGAAGTCTTGAGTTCAAGTTCCAGCACCAAAAATAAGTAAGTAAGTAAAGGCTGTCTAAATTTAAAAAAAAAAAAGAAGAAAGGTAATGACTACCAAGACATTTCAAATCTGTTTTTTTTCTGGGATTTCATAAAACAATTTAATGAATCCAGTAATTAATCTCTGGTGTTGAAAGATGTAGTTTTAACTTTGACTTTAATTAAATATAATATTGTAGTGTATCAGCTACTTAATGGAGATATTAATGTGTTGTCCATTGCTGTTCATCTAACATTATCTTTCTATTTTTCAGGTTCTATTTTATTTTTTCCTGCTTCAAAATAATTTCCCAATATTGTATAAATGTGTATAGAAGATGTTTTATTATCATAAACATTTAAAAATACTAGTCACTATCTTTAATTTAAAAAATCACTTTAACTTATAATATTTTTCTTTTAATTTTAAATTTTTTTTTGGTATTGAGAATCGAACTCATAACCTCACACTTACTGGGTAGGCAGTGTATCACTGAGCTATGTGATGCTGAGCTACACCCCTGGCCTATTAATGTCTATTTTTATAAAACCTATAGGCTATAAAGTTTACAATCAGGTATTTAATTTGATATAATACAGATAACTGAGTGATACCTTTTAGTCATTTATTTGTATCATTTTGAAGTCCTTTGGTCTGGTCTTTTCATAATATTTTGAAAAGATAAGGAAATCAAATCAGATTTTCAAATTTATTTGTATGCACTGTTTTTCAAATAAGCCAGGAAAAATAAGAAATAGATTTATGTCACTGTAAGAAATGACATTTCACAATTAATGTAAATAAAATTCAAGTTTATGTGGTATATACTAAGATTGTGGAGTCATTACTGGACCATGGACATAATGTAACTGATTCTTAGACAGTTTTTTGCATTGGTAAGGGTAATCTTCCAGCTGGATTTCGAATAGGTCCAGCACATATGTAAGATATTTTGCCATATATAGGATCACTTAAATAACTGATGTCTATATAGCTTATTTTTTTATATTGTTGTACATTCACTTAAGTTTATTTTGGTGACCTGCCTTGTAGAGAATTATAGATGATAAATCGTATAGTTTTTCCATGGCCAGACCTGTACCTGTGAAAAGACATTATGATAGTAGATATCTGTAACCTGTATTGTTTACAAGGAGCAAGTTATTTCATGCTTTCAAGTAAAACATCAAGAAAATTAATTTGACTAATTTTTTTAGTAGTAGCTTAATTTTTATGGTTACTTTAAAATGATCTTTACTTGTATGCTTAATGGTATGTTGTATCTTTCTTTAAGACTAAAACCTTTGGAGGAGCAGGGGGTGGTGCCAGAAGTAATCTCAGTATGAACGCTGTTGGGAACCGAAATAGAGAAGTTTTACAGAAAGAAAAGCTAACCAAATCAGAAGGGAAGCATGAAGGCGTCTATAGAGAATTGGTAAGGCTAAAGAATTACGGTTACTAGGTGATAGAATTTTTGGCGTGGCTAAAAAGACAGAAATATGAAATAAAAGTGGCCTTTATTTTAAGAATACCGAGAGAGAACTCCCGACCACTGAGGTCTGGCTTTTTCTTTGCCAGACGAGTGGTGTGGGGGCACACATATAGCTTAGGTTTGGGGTGATGCCTAAGGGGCATTACTGATGCACAAGTAGCTCATTGGAATTCATTTCGGGCCATAGGTAAATTGCCTAGGGGCGGGAAAGGTGACCTCAAGATAGAGCCCTTTGGTTTCACCTCTTAGCCTCTCACCACTGCAGTGTCCCATTTAGGACAAAATCCTTTCACTAGGTTCTCCTTTTAAAATTTAAACTTTTCATTACATATATTTTCTTTGTATTTTTAGAGATGTGCTACCTTTCTTCAATGGAAAAATATCAGAAGCTTTCCCTTTTTTTAACCCTGAAAATTTCCATTAGTTTTTCCTCTTCACTTAATTTTCAAAAGGTTTATTCTAATATAAAATTTTGTGTGTGTGTATTTTGCATTTGCAGTGGAATTTGCTAAGTTAAAGAATACTCGTGGCACAGTCCTATCTATGTAGCATACAGAATCCTTCTTGTCTATTAGTGTGTACAAACAGCAAGTAAATGTTGTATTGATAGGACATTTTTCTATAAATACATGGTGTAATTTTTAGTTAACAGACAACTAATAGTTAAAATCTTACACATAGGTTTAAATCTTATACCTAGGTTTCTTACAAACTATCAGCATTTTTCTCTTCATTCCTTACAGGTTGATGAGAAGGCACTGAAGCATATAACAGAAATGGGTTTCAGTAAGGATGCATCCAGGCAAGCTCTTATGGATAATGGCAACAATTTAGAAGCAGCATTGAACGTTCTGCTTAACAGCAGTAAACAGAAACCTGTTACAGGTCCCCCTCCAAGAGGTATAGTTTACGAGACAATAATACATTGACAAATGATACTATTTGCTTTTTAGAGCAAGATATGTTATTGACAGAAACTTAGTTTTATTATTGTAGGGGCTGTAACTTTGTATAACTTTGTATAACTTTGTGATAGGTGGAAAGACCATGTGTTTTTGAGCTGGAGAGATATTTGACTCTATCTTCATTTTTATGTGGATCGTGTCTAACAGCACTTTGCTTAACTTTACTTATTAACAGCACTTTACCTGTTATGAGTACTAGAGGAAGTATGACATAAAGTGACTAGTTGTATCATTTCTAGAACTATGCCATTTTGTCACTTAGTCACAAATAACTAAACTGTCTGTAAACTTCTTTAAATTAAGAAGAAAATAACTTTTATTTGGTGTTACTCTTTAATCATTGCATGGGCAGAGGTATTTTATTGGGACTTAAGTCTAAAGTCTGTGTTTTGAAAATGATAAAAGATGAATTTTATAAATTTTTTTTTACTTGAATGATAATTTATGTAAGTAAGTTAAAATTTCTGGATAAATCATTTAGAAAATGAGAGGTGCTATTTAGTATGATTTGAGAGCTTTTTTAATATAAAAGAATAGACGATATAAAAAATATGAAAGAAATACATGCAAAATCCTGTTTAAAATTAATACTGATTTATTTTCGTGTATTTTCTTTTATTTTTTCATATGATGTATGTGCATGCATACAAGTACATCAATATATATGAATATGTGTGTGTATATAATGTTACTCTGAAATCTTCAGGTAGAGGGAAAGGCAGGGGTCGAGTAAGATTGGAAGATGAAGAGGACCTGGGAAATGCAAGGCCTTCAGCACCAAGCACGTTATTTGATTTCTTGGAGTCGAAAATGGGGAATTTAACTGTAGAAGGTAGGCTACGTTAATACAGATTTCATTTTTTGAAAGATCACACGCTACAAAAATGTTTAATAAAGAAACTGACTACATGAACCTGTACACTCAGTGTTTACAAATTTATTTAGTGAATTTCCTATTTGGTAGAAAAGTTTGTTACATTTTGCCCCTAATTATGTGATGAGTAATATCACCAACATGCTTCCCCCACCTTTACTCATAATAGCTGACAGGTTTAGCTGTATAAACACATTGTATTATAAAACTTGTGTAACATTTTTTTTGTTTTTGCACCAGGGATTGAAATCACAACCTCGCACTTGCCAGGCAGGTGCTTTTGCTGAGCTAAATCCCTGGCCTGAAAACTTGTATAATCTTGTGTGCAGTATTTTGAATGTAAAAGTGGTCTTTTTCCATATGCAGATATTGCATGAAAATATTCACAAAGAATATGCTTTCACAATATAATATATTTCTTAATGGGATGTACTTCAGTGAGTAGCATAAATATTGAAAAGAGAAATAAGTATATTGAGTATGTATCATTTTCTCTAAGAGTAGAACATGGTAAATCTTTTTAAAGTAGTAAGATCTATTGTTGAATTATTACAATGCTTGTCTTCAAATAACCTTTTTTTTTTACTTAATAATGGCTCCAAAGTGCATGGACAATGATGGTGGCAATTTTATTAAAGTATATTGTTACAGTCTGCTGTTTTATAATAGTTGCTGTTATTCACTATGACTTATTTATTTATTTTTTTGTCTTTTTTGAGACGGGGTCTCGCTATGCAGTTCAGGCTGGCCTTGAGCTCACTTTGTAGCGCAGGCTGGTCTCGAACTCACAATGATCCTCCCACTTCAGCCTCCCAAGTGCTGGGATTACAGACGTGAGCCACCACATACTATGACTTAATTTTTTTTTTTTTTTTTTTTATCGGTACCAGGGATCGAACTCACGACTGCCTGCTTGCAAGGCAGGCGCTTATGCCGCTGAGCTAAATCCCCAGCCCTCTACTATGACTTACTTTATAAATTAAACTTGTATATGTAGAAAATGCAGTGTAGAGAGATTGGTACAATTTATACTGTAGCTTCAGGCATTTACTAGAAAATTTGGAATCCCTTGTGGTTAAGGGAGGACCACTGTTGTTGAAAAGAACGTCTCTTAATTTTAGCCAGCTTGTAGCTAGCTGTTTCTTTATGCTTTCTAGTTTCAAACTTGTCACTTTGTCTCTTGTGACCAAAACTTGTAAAAAGTAACAGAAACTTTCCATTATAAGTCATTGTGGAATATTTGAACTCTGTCAATATATTTTAAAAGGTAGCTAATGTTAGTACTATACTTGATTGCCTAGGCATTAATGATTTCTAAGCCAAATTATTTCAGAGACTTTAATTATTCTGAAGGTATTATATATACGTATGAGTATTTTTTTAGATTAGTAATGTATGCACTAAGTCACAAATATCTCCAAAGATTATGAGGGGCCAAACCCAAAGGACTTGGCTTGGCAGAATTAGTTTCTAAAATGTGAAGAAAAGAAATTGTCTAGGTTCTATGAATTCTTTTGGCCCACAGTTTTATTAAAATAGTATTAGAGGTACTTTAACTTCAAAAGTCCAAAAAACTTTGTTCTAAATTTTTGAAATTTTCTGTGTTTATATTTGATGAAATTGAACATTAGTGATTTGAAGAAATTTATGTGTGATAGGGATTGTGTAGTAAGTCTACATTATTTTAACTTGTTTTATTTCATGATAAATAATTTTCTTTGGTATTTAGGTTTGATAAAAAAGGATTTTGCTTTTTTTCAGAATACTAGAATATATAAGCCTCTTTATTGTTTCTGCCATGCTTCTATTTTTCCTCCTCAATTGTCCACTCATCTAAACATTCAACCATAAAATAAAATGGGAAATGTCATTAATTGAGTATCTGCAATGTGCCAGGAACTGTGGTAGGTGATTTGCGTATGTTGTTTTGGGTTTTGTTTTGTTTTTTTAGGCTTTTCTGTTTTTGCCATGCAGGGGTACAAATGCAGGGTCTTTGTGTTAAGCTACATCTCCAGCAATCATTCTGTCCCACTGTTTTTGAGACAGAATCTCCTTAAGTTGCCCCAGTTACACTCCAACTAGATCCTTTTGACTCATTCTCCCAGAGTGCCGGAATTGGGTTAGATGACAAGATGGAGAATACTAATACATAGATGAAATCATATGTACATACTGAAATTATTATTTTCAAGATTAGTAAAAAACATATTTGGTGTAGCATGAAAGTTTTACCATATGGGTTTGAGGTAATGGGTTATTTCTCTTTCTGCTTATCCCAAAATATCTTTTTAAATATTATTTTATTTTTGTAAGATATGGGAAATACAATCACTTATTAGCTACTTATGTTCATACATACTTTGAAGAGATGAGAAATAGTCCCTAGCTGTATGCTTTGTAATTTCAGAATCATAAAGAATATATTTATAGAAGAAATAGTAGAAACAAAGTATATAAATTTAGCCAAAATTTTAGAACCAAAGCATTCTGTGATCATTATAGAGAATGTATATATACTCAATATGCAGAGATATTTTATACAAAAACCTTGATTTATGTAACTGAAAAAAATTAGTTCATAATTTTGAGTTATAAAAATGTATAAATTAGGCCAGGCATGGTAGTACATGCCTGTAATCCCAGCACTTGGGAGACTGAGCCAGGAGGATCTCTGTGAGTTCAAGGCCAGACTATCTTGTGTAGTGAGTTCAAGATTGGCCTAAATTACTTAGCCAGGGCCTGTCAGAAAAATGTTTTTAAATGTGTACATTGGTTTAAATATTGAGATAGGAAAAAAAATTATGAAAACATATGCTAATCAGTGCTGTGTTTTTGTAACAAATATCTTCAGTAATTGATTTTTCTCTTGCTTTCATTGGTAAAGCAATAGATTTCAGCTCTTGTTCTTGTATCGACTTTTATACTAGTAGGTAACCTGTTCCATGGAATACCATGACTTTTTAAGAATGCTGTTCGAGTCCATAAGTGGATATTTCTCTGATACTGTAGTTATTGCAGTACTAGGGATTAAATCCAGGGCCTTTACACTCTAACATAACCCATTTCTTAGCCCATGGAATGTTTTTTGGCTGGACTTGAATTTGTGATTCTACTTTAGTGTCCTGAGAACTGGGATAAGTGTGTTCTACACAATACCTGACTTTGCTTTGGTATGTCTTTTGAGCAATCTTCATTAATTTTTAATCCCCATTTTAAAGAAAAAGTGAGTTGAAATTTCACTAGCATGTTTTTACTTTTTTGTTGTTATTTTTGTATTTTGGCTTTGGAGGTGGGCTCTCACCATTTATTCAAAAGTACTCTTGGACTCATTATGTAGCCCAGGCTAGCCTTAATTTATGGTAATCCTCTTGCCTCCCAAGTGAAACTGCAGGGTGTGCCATGATACCCAACCTAAATTAAAGAATTTTACTTTTTTTCTTATTATAGCTTAGTGAAATTATAGTAATGTGGTTGCAGAGATAATAGTAAAGCCACAATTATTGTAGTCCATGATTCTGGAAAAAATGACCTTGGTCGAGATTCTTCAGCTTCATTATCTGTTTGATGATGATTTTATAATTATACCCTGAAGTAAGCTCATCTTTTTTGTTTTTTTAACTATATGAGAAATTTTCTTGGACTAGGTTTTTTTTTTTTTTTTTTTTCCTTTTGTATTTATAAGGACCAGCTTGGACTTTGTATGCTCTTTGAGCATCGTTGGACAGGGATAGAAACTTTGCAATTGTGTTGTTGCTGAGGGTTTATTGCTAGAGTTTTGTGATTTATTCATTTGTAGTGATAATGATCTGCTTTGGCTACATCCTTAGCCTTTTTTGGAGACAGTTGCTAAAGTGGTCATCCTTGACTCAAAATTATGATCATCCTACCTGAGCCTCCCATAGTGCTAGGATTATAGGTGTGTACTATCACAACCCTAATGTTTTTAGTTAACCTCCTAATGTTTTTAGTTAACCTTTCCCCTCCTTTTTTAGGGGATTTGGGATACTAAAAATTAATCTTATGAATACTAAATGTAATAAAAATGTTTATTTTAAACTTATTCTTCATTTTAGTATGTCAGGTGTGAGAGGATTTAAGGAGAATAGGAAAACAACTGTTTGCCTTTGAATAATTAATGAAAATTCCATATTAGAGTAAAACTAAATTTATATATGATGGCTTTGCATACAATGCAAATAGACATTAATTTTGGGATATGAAACAGTTTTTCCTTTGAAGTTACTAATTAATGATGAATAAAGTTTTACTCACAATTTGTGAACTAAGGCCTTGGTAGGTGGTGTTCTCTTTTCTGGGATTACTGTTCCCTACTTTCACTGCATTTCTTCTCATTCTTTAGAGTTCAACTGGAATAACCAGTTCTTCAGTCTTTTTTTTTCATGTATCAGTGTACCCTCCACATTCCTCTAACTTTTATAATAAAATTTTTTGTCATAAGTATTAATCCCAGTTTTAAGCCACATTATTTGTTCAGTTTGTCATCTACCTCTTCCCATTGTTACTGATGTACCATAGGATAGAGAGATGTCCAATTTACCCACAACTTCATACCCAGTGACTAGGACATTGTTGACCCCATTCATAGTTGGTGTTTAGTAACTGTAGTGAGTAACTGAAAGGAAGAAAGAGTTATGCATGTTTATCTCAACTTTACAAGTTTACACAGAGGCAGGACTGTTACTCAGTTTGAGTGGCCATTCTAATTCCACAGACCTTGTGTAGACTCAAGAGAAAGTAATCCTACATATATTTCCAGATTAAATTTTCTGGCTAATCCTATAGTTAGCATCGTCATCCAGACTTTATAAATGAGCAAATTGGGATTCTTTGTGACGTTGAGACCCAGTGTAGAAAGCAATTTATTTGGTTTCAAACTTGGTATTGTTTAAGCAAATCAAACATGACTTTTTCTAACTGTGTGTGTGTGTGTGTGTGTGTGTGTGTGTGAGTGTGTGTGAGTGAGTATTGGGGCAGTCTTTGCCTGTGATCATTTGAACTCAGTCTAAATCTACCTCACATGCTTTGGTGCACACTTCTAGAGAATGAAAATAGGACACTACATTTTTGTTTTTAATGTTGTACCCTTAGCTCATCACAGGTGATAGTGTTAAACATAGAATTTTGAGCTTGGAGTCTGGTTCCATTCCCAGTGTTTTTATTGTTCTATCTTGTAGCAAATATTTACTGAGTACCACCTGTTTGCCTGAGTTTCTGATAAATTAACAAATGGGGAAGAAAATATGAAGTATGATTCAGACCACATGTTCAGTTTGATTATTATCTAATAATATTTAAAGTAGCATTTAAAAAAATAATGAAATAGTGAAATAAATCAGACACACAAGCTTAAACATGGCATATCAGATCCTGACCTAGATTCCCCAATCTCCCTAATGAGTGTACAGTGAAGGCTTAAATAAAATGAGATAAGTGGCATGATTTTAGGGCTCCAGGAGGATCAAAACCCTTTAGCTGAGTTTGAGACTCTGAGAACTAAGAAGACGACTTCTCTGGACTGCCCATTTTTATTAGGTCCAACAACAAAGGGCTGGGAAACCAAGGAAAGCACAGGCAATGAGCAGGACCTTGGGATCACTTCAAGGAGGTCTCCAAGTAATGAATCATGTCAATTTTAGAGAACTATCTTATCATGAAGACATGGTAGAAGTGAGAAGGCAGGAGTAATTCCTGCAGCTGCAGTTTTTATCTAATTAACTGATGTTTGAACCAAGTGTCCACAGCTGTGGCCCTGTCTTGCCCTTGTAAGCATGCATTTATTATTAAAATAGTGATTGTAGACCTGGCATATGTGGCTGATTAGTCCTGTGCATAGTTTATAGTCTTGATGGCTTCTCAAAAAGAAGGAAAGGAACTAGTTTCTGACTACAAAACTGAGGAGTTCGCTTTCCATTTAATTTGTGAGACATTTTATAATTTACCTAAAATACCCTTTCTCACAGTTTAGTAACTGAATGTATACATTTTGCTATTTATTCAATAGATTAGCTCAGTTTCAAAATATTTACTTTATTAATTACCTAAAATATAATATATTGAATTTAAGGAAATCTGGGAATAAAGGAACAAACCATTTAAGAACCTCTCTCTCTAGTATAAACATTAACTTTTAAAAGCACATTTTTATCTGTCTTTAGTTAATACTCTTATTTTAAACATTAACTTCCTTTATAGATTTTACTTTTTTTTTACTTTCCTTCTTTTTGAGAAGTCATCAAGACTATAAACTATGCACAGGACTAATCAGCCACATATGCCAGGTCTACAATCACTATTATAATAATAAATGCATGCTTACAAGGGCAAGACAGGGCCACAGCTGTGGACACTTGGTTCAAACATCAGTTAATTAGATAAAAACTGTGGTAGTTCACATTGAGCCCAGGACCTTTGCATGAAGTTGTATTCTCAGCTCTTTTTAAAATTAAGACAGAAGTTTGCTAAGTCATCAAGTTCTCCATGGTTGGGCTCAAACTTGCAAACATCCTGTGTTGATTTCCCAAATGCTGGGAGTACAGAAATGTGCCACTATACCCAGCTTACTATTGCGGTATTATCTCAGTGTAATAATGGAGATTATTGCTTTTATTCTCTAATATCTAGGGAAAAAGGCCAAGACATACTTGCTATTGAAAGTATTCATTGTGCCCTGCTTATGCTCGTAACTGTTACCACTTCCCTGAATCTTATGGACAGATCAATGTTGGCACAAATAAAAAGAGACCATTTGTTTTCTACCAAGCAAAAATTTAAAATTGAGTGCAATTGTTAAGATATTTGTGTTATGTTTAAAGTATATATTCTTGCATGTAGTTTCTCTTTACGTGGTCCCGACTAAGGTTTGAAATCTTGCATATCTGAAAAATGTATTCTTTGTCACAATTAGTGAGTGGGTGGTTTGATTCAACATGGAATTTTACTTATATGTTGTAAATAATTTATGAGATAACTTTTTGCTTCCAGTGGGTGTTCAGGAATACATGTAGTTTCAGTGATTACAATGACTAGGAGGGATGCAGGAGAGGGTGTTTTGGGATTTAGTGTTTGAGCGTCAGTGATATTAGTTTTCTTACAATGCAGCGAGCATATTTAGTCAAACGTTAGTAGTACCTATCTTTTAAAATGAGATCCTGGGGAGATACAAGGATAATTATAACTTTCGTGTTCATTCTGGTGCATGACAAAGGAAACATTGTTCGTAATATTGCAGACGTCTATGTGAAACAGTGAGGGAAGAAACTATAAATGACATAATAGGAATACAATGAATATTACTATCCGAAATAGAAGCATTAAGATATCATCTATTGCTTTACTTTTACTGTATTGCTGCTGTTGGTTTCAAGTTGGAATTGTTTAATGTGCTTAGTAATGTTTTGATGACTTTTTCCCCCTCTATTTCCAAGTAGTATCTGTTAATTCTTTTCTTTAATAAGATATGTTTGTGCCCAAAATGTGTAATTGTCATTGTACAAAAGAAAGGAAAAGAAAGTTCTCTGAATGATATAACTGCATATATATTTAACTGTATAAGATAGATAACCATATTACTGAGTTTTGTTGCATCATTGAACAAAACTGTTTGCAGTCTCACTGTTTGAAAGTCCCCTCTATATGTTTTAATTTTGTAACTTCAACAACTATTTCTAAGATGACAATATGTAACTAGTGATTTCCTACTGTTTATTTTTTCTGAAATTCTGTATAACTTATACCCTTTTTCTGTTTTTTTTTTCTTTTTTCTCCTTAAATAAAATTTAAAAAAAAAGGTATCTGTTTGTAATATAAAAAGTAGTTCCAGATCCAGACAAATTTGTGAAGGCTAGAATATACATTACTAGATTAGGGCAGAATTCAGAAAGGGAGTGAGAAAGTACTGTACTTGTGCAGTTTCATAGTTGTTTCCATTTCAGTTACTTCTTCGGAAAATGAATTATCAGCGTCACACGTACAGATAGCTGTAAGAGCAAAAACATTCAGTGACAGTGATGAGTGATTATTCAACACCTTTTTCTTAGATTATATCATTGCTTTAGTTCTCTAATGTGCCTAAGCAGGAAAACTGTATGTTAGAAATACGGGACACGAAGGAAGTAGAGCGGAGTTAAGATAATGAAGTGGGAAGATATTAAAATAGTAGTTTGATAATTTTGTATCAATGTAATAATGCTAAGTGTTTAAAAATAAGTAGTAATGTAGTTTTCATTTAATGTGCATGTGATCTACTTTTACCTTTCAGAACCGAAGTCACAGCCACAACAGCTTCATCAGGGACAGCACAGAATGTCAAATAGTGAACAAAATGGAGTAAAAGACAATAATCAACCAAGATACCTTTCTCGTAATGATACCAGACAGCCAAGAAATGAAAAACCTCCTCGTTTTCAAAGAGATATCCAAAATTCAAAGTCAATTTTGGATGGCGGTGGATTGCCTAGAAATAGAGTTTCTGAAAGACCAAGTATTTCTTCAGGATCTGAAGTATGGGCTGAGGAGAGAATCAAATGTGATAGACCATATTCTAGATATGACAGAACTAAAGATACTTCATATCCTCTAAGTTCTCAGCACAATAATGGTGCTTTTAACAAAAGAGATAACTCTATGCAAATCAGATCAGGAAAAGGTCTGTCCTATGCAGAGGCAAAAGAAAATCCACCAGAATTCATCGATTATAATCATCAAAAACGTGGGAAAAGAGAAAGCCAAACTGGTAATCCTGATAATTTTTATGACAGGAAATCACGAACAATAAGTAACGACGCTTTTGGTGGTGTAAAAATTGAAAAACATTTTAATGCAAATACTGATTACCAGAATCCTGTCCGAAGTAATAGTTTCATTGGCGTTCCAAATGGAGAGACAGAAACGCCCTTGAAAGGGAGAAGAGTGGAACCAATTAAGCCAGCAGGAGCTGTCACAGCTGTACCCTATGAAGATAAAGTATTTTACAGTGGTGGGCCCAAGAGAAGATCTGGGCCAATTAAGCCAGAAAAAGTGCTAGAATCTTCTATTCCTATGGAGTTTGCAAAAATGTGGAAACCTGGAGATGAATGTTTTGCACTCTATTGGGAAGACAACAAGGTATGGATGTTAGAAGCATGTGTAATACTACTAAATGTCACATTCTGGTGGGACTTCACAGAAAGTCATTACCATGGGACTGAATTTTATTTTACAGTTATACCTATTAAAGTCTTTAAATAGTTATGGATACATAATTTACAAAAGTGAGATAGAATATTTAATATTTTTTTCCTGAATACTTAGGTAGAATCTTCTCAAAATTTGGCTAAAACAAGTTTGGTTTTAACTTATGTATCAGAAAAGTATTAAAAACGTGATTAAATATCCAACTTTATTTCAATTACCATTTTATGAATTATGTTTGCTTTTCTTTTTAGTTAGATTTTACTGATTCACAAAAAAGCAAATCAGTATATCATTTAAATAGAGTATACTACAATCAGCCTTTTAAAAAAAAAACTAAAAATGTGTTTACCTTGTAACAAGTAATTTAACAATTATTAGATTGATAATTTAGACATTATTTAGTTCTACCCAATGAGATGGCCCAAAGGGAAAGAAGGTTGTCATGGGGAAAAGGGGAAGGAAAAAAAGATGAGATTGAGAGAGCACAGTGTATCCAGTATGAGTTTGACCAGAGCGGGGAGACCGACAGAGTGAGAACAGGGCGGGGAAGAGGAGAGGAGGCGCAGCACAGAACACGGCTCTGCTGGTTTCCCCTTTGCCCGTGTGCTCGTCCTGCACTGCTCTTCTTAGCCTTAAAGGCTTGGCTCTTGGACCCTTAGAACAACATCACCTCTTAGAACAAGCATTTTTATCTTCTGTCTCTTCTTTCATACAGGAATCTTCTCAATCAGTGCCTTCTTTATTTACTTTTTTTTTTTTGTCTTTTTCCTTTTTATCGGTACCAGGGATCGAACTCACAACCGTGCACTTGCAAGGCAAGCGCTTATGCCTCTGAGCTAAAGCCCCAGCCCCTTTATTTACTTTTTAAAATAGCACAGTTTGTAAATCTTTGGTTTTGATTCTTGGATTGATACCAGTTTCCCATACCTTGGTGTTAAGTTGCTTAAAAGTAGGAGTATGTTTGGTTTCTTCCATAGCCCTATTTTTCTTACAGTATAGGAATTTCATAATTGTCTATTTACTCTGGTAATTAATTTAGGAGAAGATACTTATGTAGGAAAGAAATACAGTGGTGAAGGGACTAGATACTAGCAAAAACAGATACAAGAGAGTTGCACGATGAGGGATTTGGGTGGATGTAAGGGTCAGGTAAAGGTAAAGTATTTGAAATAAATATTTCTTAGGATAATTTTAATTGATAAGGTAAGGATGTGTTAATGAGAGTGTGTGACTAAAGGGAGAGTGGAGATAAAAGTAACTAAATTTCAAGGAACTGAAATTCTGACTAAAGAATATGGATTGAACCATTACAGAGATGCTGTGTAGGATTTAGCACCTGGAATTAGACCCTGTTGTGTTTAGAAAATGAAGAGGTATAAGCAGGATGTTAATCATTAGCTGACATTAGCAACACAGAGGAAGACAGCATAGCAGTGCTGCATGGCATAAGCTTTAAAGTTTTTGTATGAATGTGGGATAGTGTTCCTTTAGAAACAGCAACTCTGGCTGTTGAACTTCTTTGTTCAAGGATAGAAAGCAGAAAAGAGACAAAATTAAGTCTCTTTATTTTTTCCCTAGAAAAACAGAAGCCTTCCCAGGAATAGTGACAAGTCTATATTTAAGTCTTCTTGATTGGAACTTTCACATAGCCACTCTCTGGCTATTAGCAAGAGATGGAAAACAAACACAGACTTCGTGGTGGTTTTTCTTGTTTTTTTCTGTTTTTGTTTTGCTATTCAGATTCTTACTTTTCCTAGTGGTTTATCCAGACCACTTTCCAAAAGTAAAGTATTGTTTGATTTGGGTAAAAGGATGTTTTGTATAGCTACTTCCCCTTCACTGCAGAGGCCAGAAGAAGTGAAGCAGCTGGAAGTTAAGTCTTTATCAAGAAGTGCAGTCTGCTGTGGAGGGACGCACGTTGTGTCCGATGTTTTTGTGAAAGGTTAAGATGAGGTGAAAACGTATGTTCTGTGTTGGACAATGGGAGACTGTTTGTGACCCTGACAAGTGACTGGAGTTCAAGTTCAGTGGTTGCTTAAAAGGCTTGGTAAATGATTTAGGCTTACTGTTGAAACTCTATAAGGATTGTTCCCTAAGTAGTAAAGACAAATGTGAAACTGTTCATCCGTACAGAGCCTAAAACTAGCCCTCAACAAGATCAGGGATATCCCCTTTTCACTCTTTTTGCTTGCCAGAAGGAAAAAGAATGATTTGAATGAATGACCAGAAAAAAACAAAACAACAGAGAATAAGAAGTCTGTGTATTCAGATAGCAGACAAGTTCCTGTCAGTACTACTGAATTCAACTATTGTCTCTGTTAAATATATTTCAAATAGTGCAAAAGCATCTAGAATGCAGCGCCTTACAAAACCTAGTGTTTCCATCTCTTGGGGTGTTAGAGTACTTAGATGATCTTTTAGGTAAATACTTTGATTTAAACAGATACGTATACTTTAGGATGAGGTTTGTGGACTCTTTATTGGAACTGAGGCAAATAAATACCCTGTGAATGAGGAAATTATTCACCTTCTGACCTCTAATTTAAGAGGTAATTTGATTAGTCAAGGATAGGCAACTTTCTAATTTTCTAGCTAGAGACAAGAATAGAAAGTTAAGAAAAGGAATTGACTATTAAACTGTAATCTTAATTGCATTGTAATTATATTTTAAAGATAATGTTAATATACTTTCTTTTAAAAAATTCATCACAATACCTTGCCATTTTAAAAGAGTCTGATGCAATTCTCATTCTTCAATCTAGACTGCCAAACCTGTGCAGGTCTTTCTCTTCTCTTGCCTGGAATATTGTAAAATCCTGAATCAGATACTTTGCATTAAACCTCATCTCCCTTTAAATTTGTCATTGATACTGCCACCACTGTCATCTTAGTTTTAAGTTCTGTCCTTCTTCCTAATTTAACTCTCCCACCTGTAGAGTTCAATACAGATTCTAGCAGGTCTGTATATTCTCCACCATCTGACCCTTTCTTCCTTACACTAATTTCTTTTTGGTTGAGCTGTTTTCTCACACGATGGTGTGATAAGTTAAAAACCTTTAGTTTCTAACACTCCTTTTCATATTTTATGTTTCTGTAACTTCTCCTTGAACATCCTTCTCAGTAATTTATGTGGGTTGATTGAAAAGTATGGTGAATATTTAATTTTTGAAAAAGCAGTGTGCAGCAGGAAAGGACAAATGACCATTAATCCCATCAGAATGTTTAGTCTCATTTTGCACATGCTGATCTCTATTCTTTTTACTCTCTAAAGCAATTTTGGAAGTCCTTTGTAAATATCTTCGGGCGAACTGTTGTGCCTACTGTGATGTCATGAATTGATTCAAAACATTTACTTTTCATAGTCATTTTGGTTTTGGGAAAGAGGCAGAAGTTAGTACCAGATATGGTGAACAAGGTAGATGGGGACACACCAGTATGTTTTAATCAACCCGCCTTTCTATTGGATGGCACTTGGCAGCAACATGCAGTGGTTTTTGTTTTTTTTAAAATCACACTTCATAAAGACACTAAAGAGGACTTCAAGAATTGCTTCAGAAAATGACAAGAATGTTGGGGTCTGTTTGAAATGAGACTGAGTATATTGAGCGAGATTACTGGCAATATGTCTTTTACTGTAATAAATGTTTTTTATTTAAACCGTATTTTTAAGTAGTTCTAGCACATGGATAAACAGTTTTCATCCTTGAATCTATCCCATCTACTCAGAAATTTCTTCATGAATCCTTCAGTTTTATTAAGTGCCATATGGCTACACTTTTTATTATAGTGCTTTATGCTTTATGTAGAAGTTATTTTTTTATGTGGATCATCTCTATTAAAATGAAAGGTAGATTTTTTTTTTGTGGAATTAACTGTTCAACCTTATTTGGGGCATAGTTTTTTAAATGAGACTGTTAAAACTCATTTTGGTGTCAGATCTGTATTGTGGGAAGTTAAAGGTACAAACCAGATACATAGGATACCTATTCTTTCAGTTACCCCATAGCATCCTAAGAAATACTCAGCTCTAAGTTTTCTAAGAAAACATCAACTTACTAGTTTTCTAGGACATTGTATAATTGTTTGTTGAAGTTACTTGAACTAACATAGTTTGGGAAGTTTACAGTTGAAACATATAATCAAAATTTCATGAAATACCATGAGACTAAAAAATAAAGGAGAAAGTGAGAAAGAGGAATCATTCACAAAAACTCTAAGATAAAGAAAATTCCAGCATAATATCTCCATATTTGTTAGCTTCCGGACCTAGAAAAACAACACATGGAGTCACTTGAACTTTTGTAATATGAAATATAATAGTTACTAATGAATATACTAGATAAAAACCATCTGTATTTGAGGTATATTAGGGTAACTTATTTTTAGAAAAACATGGAGAATGAATTTTTCTTTTAAGCTTTAGCATTCCTTGATTCTGGTGAGCTATTAAATACTGTTGAGTAGATAGTGTTATAATCAGGCATCTGCCTGCCAGTTTGAAGAAGATATGCTTTCATAGCAAGTTATTTCTTGTTTCCATTTCACATTCATTAAACCATATTTATTCCTGTAATCCGGGTCCTGAATAAATTGACCTATATTGGGGAAGTACTCTTAACTCAGTAATCTACTTTTAGTTTACAGATAAAGTTTTAAATTGTAGTTATTACATAAGCAGTGTCATGTAAATTTGTTAATATGCATCAGTCTTCAAACCAGATAACACTATGTAAAATGAAAGCTTTTGATTTTGCAGGGTCTCAAACCCTAGAAATCCTAGATCGGAGTCATGTGCTTACTCGGTGTCCAGTATCCTTACCTCGCTCCCAGCATCTGTAATGACTGAAACAATGGCCTTCTTGTCATATATTTGTATTTTTTGTGTAAGGATTACCAGTGTTAGACAAAGAGTTACCTTAAAGGGAGTTTACTTTCTTAAAAATTTTACACATTGTTATAGTTTTACTTCAAGAGTTTGTATTTCCATTAAACATTACCTTTATAAATACTATTAACTGTCATTTTTAAAACTCTCTTTTGCCTCTTCAGTTTTACCGAGCAGAAGTTGAAGCTCTCCATTCTTCTGGTATGACTGCAGTCGTTAAATTTATTGATTATGGAAATTATGAAGAGGTGCTACTAAGCAACATCAAGCCTATTCAGACAGAGGCATGGGTATGTGATACAAATTCTGTACAAAGGCATAAGCCATTTTGAAGAAGATATATAGCTCTAAAAGATAAGTCATAATTATACAAAATTTGCAAAAAATTGATTACCCAACATAAAATTTTACTTTAATACTTATACTAAAATAAAAACGAATGGATTTAATTACTTGTATAATGTTTTGTATCATGTTTTGGAAATAAGCACCCTTATTACATGTTTGCCAAAAAACTTGTATATGTAAAATGGGATTTTATGCATATTTTGTTCTTCTCAAAGTGTTACTTTAAATTTTATTAAATTTATGTCCAACAGTTACCAAATTGAACCTGTTGGATATGTGTATATTGCTTTTTATTTTAGTTACATGTAAAATTAATAACACTGTACATGTAAACTCACATTTCATTTGCCATATATACATATATATATATATATATATATATACACACACACATATATGTACATACATACACAGATTACTATATCTCTGGTTAATAATTAGTTGATTAGTTATATTGCCAAGTATTTGCCAAAACTATGTGCTGTTATTGATGGTATAATTTAAAGCTCATTGTCCATTTTATAAAGGGCATGTAGGATTATATAGATAAATTCCCACCCACATTAAAGGAGAAACAAGAAGACAAAATATATTAGAATTAATTTCATAAATTTTTTATTTATTTAATTTTATTTCTTCAGTGCATGTACCAGTAAGAAGGTAATTGACTGATAAATCATACTGGAAAAATTAAAGGGCTGCAAAATTAGCTGTTGGTAAACTTATAACCCTAATTTGTTGCTATTTTCCTATAATGTCAAAATGTACGAGAAAATTATTTTTCCAGACAGTAGCCTTTCTTATTGCAGCATACATTGTCTTTTCATGAAGTGCTTTAGTTTTGGCCTTGTAAGTTATTTTATCATGTGTTCACTGGTGCCCTTACCCTTAAATATAAATAAAATAACAATATAAAACCTAATAGAAGTAATTTTTAAACCGCTAATCTTTATTTTCTGCCTTTTTGTACAAGAAAATAATCATTTCCTAGATAATTTATCAATTTACATTTTATAGTAAAATATCATTGGTTTATAAGTTTAGATTTGTAGAGTTCTGACTGAAACATTAATATCTAATTTATATCATTTTTCTGGCAAAATTTGATTTATCTCATCTGATAGTTTTCTGATTCTCATATCATGACAGTTTTTATTCCCTTTTATCCATCAAGACATTTTAGTCTGGTTTTGATAGTGAAGGTATTTATTTATTGAATCTATATTTCAGAAGTTGAATCTTGGTATACTATTTATTATATGCTCCCAAATATTTTTCACTGTAACTCCTAAAGAGTCAAAGCAGGAATTTTATATTACTTGGATTTTTTTATTCTTTTAAAAGACTGTAACAGATTAATTTTATTGTGCTCTCCTTAAAGAAATACATAGGTTTCTGGCTTCCTTTCTTCTTCCCTTCCTTTTACTGTCCAGGGTGGCCACAGCCGATGAGCACTTTTCTTACATCTCACTGTTACACTTCTGTTCAGAAATGTTTGATCCCAAAGAAGTAACTTTTATTTCTGTCTTCAGTCATTCCCCCAATAGTTCTCAGTGCTTTAGCCTTGATTTTATAGATCTGTGTAATTTTAGATGGATAATAAATTTCATCAGATGTCCCAGACATTTAATGATTTGGTTCTAAATGACACCACTTCATACTCTTTCTGCCTGTTTATGAATACTCATCTGTGCTTAATTTTGATGTTTTTTAGACTTATTTTTTCTGCAGTCAGCATATAAATCTTTGCAGGATGCTTAAGATATTTTGCAGAAAAAATTAGGAATGACCAGCTCTTTTGGAGGCTTTCATAATTTCTTTTCTCCTAATTGCAGATAACCAGGTGATTCCTTTTTTTAATCAAGTAATTTTTCATTTTTTATGATTTTGCACAAATTAACAGAAATTTTTGGATCATGTACATTATTATTGAGGAAAAGTTCCTCTTTCTTGTTTATCTCCATGAATGGTTAACTTGGTCTCCTTCTTGAAATATAGAAGCCAACCATGTCTTCATTTAGCTCCACTGAAAAATGATGTATGTATGTATATCTAAACATAAACATCTTGTCCAGTAATACAATCTATGCCAATGACAGAACATGTAATGTAGTATTAGTGTGAAATTCTCTTAGTCTCTGAGAGTATTAATATTGTTGTTTATAAACACTTTTTCTTTGGTAATCAGGGACTGTCTGTAACAACTTTTAAATTAATCAAAGATGTTCATAATTATCAAAGTCAAAATACTGTACTAATATAACTCTGATGGCTAGTCATACTAGGGAAGTTAAGGGGCTGCAAAGAGGGAGGGAGTTGTTAGAGGCCTTTGCACAGTTATTCATTTACACTATCAATTGAGAAATTTTTAATTTTTTAACTCTTGCACTACATATGTACATTATTAGTGTTTTATATTGTAAAGTGATGCTCCATCTTTTATTAAGGTTTATGTTTATTACTGGCACAGGAGTTTGGATAACCTCTCAAGTTTTCCTAAATGTACCAGTGATCACTTAGTAAATATTTTTAAAAGTAGTTTGTAGAAGAAAAAAAAATCAAAAAATGCCTGCATAAAAACTAAAGGCCTTTATTGAAATTACTGCTTGTATTATTTTTCAAAACATTTAAGGGTAAATCATTAAATGAAAAATATGAACTGTTAAGAGACAGTGGCTAATGGTTTGTTGTATAAAAATTAAAATAAAAATCAAGTTAATACTTTCAATCTAAGTGTTAATGTTGTTCTCATAAAATATAGGAATTTTTAGCCTTTTGTGTGTAGGTCAAATATATATTTCTCTTTTCCATCTGTATACCTTTTACTTCTAAAGCATATTCAGGTATGACACTTTTTAAGTGGCTAAAATATATTTTGATTATGATTAAATATTGTTTTCTCCAAAATGATTTTCTAAAACTTTTGATGTTATCCTTATTTTTGTTGTTATCTTACTAATATTTCAATAGTTCTACTGTAGTACCATATTCTACGTTAATGTCCTTATTGTAGTGAATTTTCTAATTACCACACCACACATAATGTGAGATTTATAGTTTATTGTGAAGTGGATAAATGCTCTAGGTTTGTATTTGTTTTGTTTTAAATAATGGTTCTTTGTTTTAGGATTTTCCTTATTTAAGCAAGGCAAATGAAGCATTGTAGAGTCTCATTACCTATAAAATTATAAGCTGAAAAACATTATATTTCTCACCATGTTATGGGAAAATAGTAGGGACAGTGAAAACCTACTGTTTGTGTTCCCGTTGGGCCTTTACCAAATTGGTTTCTTTTAACTCTAAAACTAACACCAAGAAACTAGTAAAAAGATGGCAGTGGCAACTTAGAAGCACTATACAAACCTTGGCACTGCTGCTTGTGCAAAACATTTTTGTGCTTTTTTGGCTGCTGTTGCTTCTGAATTGCTTTTTTAACTGAGCAAATACTGTCAGGTTCTGACTTTCCAAGTAGGTTCAGAATATGAAAGTTATTGAGACTTATATCCCAAGAAATGTTATCATGCTGATATGTAATCTTTTAAAAAATGTATAGTATCTGCTTCTTGTTGGCAGGATATGACCACTGTTCAATGATTGTTTTCACTAGAAAAATTATGATTGTATATATAAAGGTTAGTTCTCAGATTTGCCATTCATGTAATCTTGGGCAGTAAATTCTAGAAAGTGGCAGGTAGATTGTTATCATCTTATAGATGATCATCCTAAGTGTTTTACTGTAGAGTATTTATTCAGCAGATACACCTTGTACATCTGCTAGGTGTCAGACCTTGTTTGGTGAGTTGCATGTGTAAATCCACAAAACAAACAAACATCTATACCCTCTACGCAATGGTAAGAAAGTTGTAAATTCAGTTATATAAAACATACTTATATATCTCTCTGGAATCTTTATTCTTACCTCTTGAACTTTAAAACATATGCTAGTAAAGAAAATCCATTGCTGAGTAATGTAAATGTACACATCTTTATTTTATTCTATCTCAGTTTGAGGATAAAGTTATTGGGGAAAAAAGCAATACAATAAATTTTATATATTTTTAATTTCTTTTCTTTTTGGTACCGGGGATCGAACTCATGCCCTCGCGCTTGCCAGTCAGGTGCTTGTGCCACTGAACCCAGCCTCAAATTTTATATATTTTTAAAAATCTTATATAATTACCTATTTTATCTTGTGTATTTGTTTTGAGATAAGGGTAGCACTATGTTGTTGTCCAGGGTGATCTTGAATTCCTGTGCTCAAATTATCCTCCTGCCTCAGCCTTCCTAGTAGTCAGAATTGCAGGTGCACAGCACTGTACCTTGCTTTGTTCTATTCAAAAGTAAAATTTGTTTTTTGAAGGATTCAAGTTCTGTTTTTCATAATACTTATGATGAAGGCTGGGGATTTAGCTCAGTGGCACAAGCGCATGCCTAGCTAGGTACCCCCCCCCCAAAAAAAAAACCTTATGATGAATATATTTTCCTTGTTAGGATACTTAAAAAAAATCACTTTAATTTCAAGTTTTAATTTCTAAGTAATGGCACAAAGTTTTGTTTTTGTTTTTAATAATGGCATTCTGGGAAGCACATTTGAAAGTTATCTTTCAGAAGTGAGACAACAGTCATAAAAAGCCATAAATGATTCTTCCACTAATAAAAGTATTGAAAAGATACATAGAACAGGGAAGAACAACCCAAACCTATTTAATTTGAAGGGAAATGGAGAGTTGGGATACTTAAATTAATATATTACAAATGAATCTTAAATGTACTAGAACAAAGTCATGTTAATAATTTTAATGACAGTGATAAAATTAGACTATTTGATATAAAAGATCACAATAGATATTTAAAAAGGATAATTATTATAGAAACTATTAATTTCAAAAAAGATCAGAAATATGAACAATGAGACTCTGCCAACAAGTATTTAGTAAAAATTATAATTAGCTTTTTGATCATAGTCCAGAAGGCTTTTCATTCTTACAGATAAGTTGTTAAATTATTACATATAATTTATCATACTTAAATTACTGTGCTAAAACATAATTTGGTTAAGGTTGCTGAAATACTGAAATACATTTTCTTTTACTGTACATACTTCAAGAAATCTTCGAAGTTACCATTTTGACAATGCTTGTTTGCTTTTGTAGCATAAACAGAGTAAAGCAGAAACAAATTGTACAGCTCATTTAGCCCCATTAAAGAATATAATTTTGAAATTACAAGCCATGAGGATTCTATATAGTGTCTTTATATGTGTTTTTGTTTTCTTTTGTGGTTTTGGTGCTACAGATTGAGCCCAATGCCTCTAAAAGACATGTTACGATAATATTTGATTGGATTAGGTGTACTTTGTATCTTCATCTATTACCCACATCTTTTTCATCTGTGTGTAGAATAGCAGTTATCTGTATAGTTCTTGTAGAATAATTTATGATAGGTTTTAACAATCATACTTCTAGTAAAAAAGGAGAGGTGACCTATTTCCTTATGATAAATACTTCAGCGATATACAGTTTTCAGTTCCATTAAACCTTAGGAACTATTACTAAGAATTTTACACCTTGGTTTGAAATAACTGCCTTAGTGGCTTGTCATGTGCTGAAAACTCCATTCAGAAGGAAAGGAAATACTTTAACAGTGAGAATATTTTATTTGCCCTAAACAAAAACTGGTATAAGTTACAAAGAGTAAATATAATGAAGAACTTCCAGTCAAGCAGCTTATTTTGTATACACATTTTTTCTTGTTTAATCCCATCAATTTTCTACAGTGTATTTGAGAGCATGAATTGTACGTCATGTTAAACAGATCTGGAAAATGGTGGATGAAAGAATTAAGTACACTTTCGGTTGCAAGACTTTATTGAATCAGTGATAAGTTAATAGGCAATGTAAGTCTCCATGGGTGTACAGTACTCTACAGACTTACTTGAAACCCCACTCCCAATTGACTCTTCTAAACGGCCTATAGGAAGTACTTAAAAAACATCCTTCTTCTCGAATTTGCCATCTGTAAAATGAAACATTTGTCTTTAAGATGTATTTTTTTAGGTTTTCCAAACACTAGTGTGGTATTTTTATTATAAATGGAAAGTACTATATAAAAACCAATTCCTTCTCACATACCATCTCAAGACATTTTACTTTCTGTGAATAGAGCATAAAATATAATCTTGAAGTTTTATGTTATTTGAAAATCTTTTCTTTTTGTCCCTGTTAAGTCTATGCTGAGACCTCATTGAAGGAAAAAAAGGGATTTGTTTTACATGTAATTATACCAACTCACTGACCTTGATTTTGTCTAAATCTGGAAATTTTTATGTATTAGCTTCCAGAAATTGCCATTGTGAGGACTCCACTTGCAGCTTCACAATACTGCTGTGTTTCTGTAATTCTCACCTAATACCCACATGATATTTATATGTTCTGGTAGTAAGATAATTTTGATCATTTCTTTAGGTATGTGGTCATTCTTAAATGGAAAAGAGGATTCCTAAAGGTCCAAAATTTAAGCCAACATTTGTTTGTAATTTTTGTTGTTATTTTTAGGACAGGGACTGCCCAAGCTGACCTTTAACCTTCTGCTTCAGCCCCTGAGTGCTGGGATCAGAAACATGCACCACCATGCCCACTTTGTATTGTCCTTTTAATAATAAGCTAATGTATTTTCTCAGCTTTTTAATATTATTATTTCAGTTACATAAAATCTTGTTAGTCTCCTAGAAAACAAATTCTTATTCTACATTTTTCTTGATCTTCTGTTCTTATTTTCCTGATACTGTTTGTTGAATTAAATGACCCCATAATTGGCTCTAATTCCAGAGCTCATTTGATGGATGTAGAGGGGAAAATATTATTTTATGAAACTCTTCCTTCAGGATACTTTTGTGATAAGGCAGAATTTACTTTTGAAAATCAGCAAATAAAAGAGTAAAAGAAACTAGTAGGTATGTACTAAGTACTATAACATTGCTTTTAGAGCATCAGAATTTTATTAGTGCATGAACTGGGTTGATACTTAAAATAGGAAAAGGAGGTCAATAATTATTTGCCAAATAATTGGTATATACTTCAACATCATCTTTACTACTGAAGAATCCTTTCTAAATGTCAGAAGTAGGACATGTTAACCGAAGTAGGACAGTTTAAGAGAAGTAATGTGGGAAGCCAACATTGATGTTCCAAAACTCTTATTAACTTTAAAAACCCTGTTTAGCATTTTAATCATATGTAAATGTGATTGCCTTGGCCAGATTGTGTGATTAGTAAATTATTGTCAATCCCCCTTACTCATGATCAACAGAGCTTATTAGAGCAAGATATCAAAAGAGTATAATTCTGGTTCTGTGTAGTTCAAATTCTGAAATTTATGGGCATATAGTTTTTTAAAGTGTTATGGTTATTTTTATATCATTAAAATAATTTAGGACACTGATGGGCATTTTGTCTTGAACAGACTTAAGTAAATAAGGCTTACAATAATGTGAAGAAAGTACATCAATGTACTTTTTTTATAAGATGATCAAATACTATAAATATTACTGTTACCAGGGAATTCTAAAATTGGTATCAATATCTAAAAGAGTATTAGACTTAATTAAATCTGAAAACAATGGAGAAAAGGAGCCATGTCAAGAACTTTAAAGAATCAGTACTTTAAATTTGTTGTCTTCTGGGAGAAACTTTATCTCCTCCTTGTTCACCTTCTCTTCCCCACCTTTTCCTCCTTATCTAACCTCTTCCCCCTCTCCCTCTTCCTCCTTTGTTTTATGTATCTGAGCTCTTTCTCCTCATCCTCTTCCTCCCTTATACATTTGTTTGCTGCCTTACTATCATGAAAGGTGTCAAGTGACTTTTAACTATTTACACAGGACAGCTACTCAAGTGAAGAATGGTTAGGTAGCATATCCTTTACAGCTCAGAAAGCTCCAGTACAGATGTTGTGTTCTTGGGGTAGGCCTTTGTTTGCCCTGATTTATGTAAATGCTTACTTTGCTTCCTGATGTTTGTTCTTATGAAAAGACATCTGCAAACTGAAATGTGTAGATATTCATCACTGTAAAATCTAGAAATAACAAGAAGGTTATCATGAGTATGGTCCATGTGAATCATGTTCTTCTGCTCTTAGGAAATTAGCAAAGGATATTAAACTCCTCATTGAATGTCTCTGAAACTTCTTAAAAAAATAAGTAGGATTAGAAATTAAAATATGTATCTCCTTTAAGAAAAATTACGAAATTGCTCTAAACACTATAGATTGGAATGTCTAAATTTTGTATAAAAATATAATTATAAAACTATATTAAGAGCATTTTAGGCATTATTTAGAAAATATAAAATATCTCAAGAAGATGCTATATGCCTGTTTGTTGAATATGTAAATTCCTTTCCATTCTTTAGTGATGCTAATCACTGAAGAGAGATAGTATAAACTGGCTGAAAGTAGTCAGAGTGGGCTACAGATGCATTACTGTCTTAGTTCTTTGGCAGTTTCAAAAATAATTTCTGTAATGGTGTAATTTAAAAGATATAACAAATTGATAAAAGAAATTTAAAGAATCTTATTTAAATAATTTTAATCATAAAATGTTACTCTCTAAAATTAATTTAACTGTGCTTTAAAGTTCCAGTGAGTTTCATATAAATAGCAAGATGTAACAAAAACAACTTCAGACATTGTTTAGCTCTTACTGCCATTCTTGCAACCAAGGCTGAGAAACACTTTCAGCTTCTGTGTGCTTTATTGGGAAAGAATTTGGTGAAAAGGGTCACTAAGAGAATTGAATGTCTGCTCTGGTTGGCCTTTGGAAGAAGGGAAGCGGGTGAGGCTGGTCTTGGGCAAATTACTTCCACCTCCCTTTTTGCCCCTGCTTCAGCTCCAGAGGAGCTGGAAATGCACAGGAAGAATCAGAAGACCTGGGTTCGAGTCCCGGCTCTGCCACTTACTACCTATGTGACTTTGGGTAAGTTACTTAACATCTCTGGGTCTCAGTTTCAGTACAAGTTGTTGTAAGGATTAAATAATCTATTTCAACATCTGCAGAAATATAAATTTTTATTACCATACGCTTGGAATCCTCCTCTATTCTTCTGTACTCTGGTGTTTTCAGCCATGCATTTAAAGTAATCCAGAATGACTTAACTCCTTTTGCTTCTTCCTATGCCCTCTCTATATACTATAGCTATTATTCTTATTCTCTGTGTGCCTCAGAGTTAAGTATTGTAAGGATGTAAAACCAGGTTGATTAAATTAATCTTCACGATAGAGTGTGGATTAATATTACCCCTTCTTATCCTTCCCACTCTGTCATTCTTTAATCTTCCTGAACTTACGTGCTTAGAAACATCAAACAATGAATCTCTAAAAGCATGAAGATTCAGACAATACTAGGGGAAAATTTTTTCGCAGATGGAAGTCCTTTGGTCCTGTTTCCCAGCTTCTTATTTGTTAGTAAGGTTGACTGGGAAAACTAGAATAAAAATGGGCCTCTGGTCCTTTCATTTTCTCTGTGAGAAAAGAGATGGAAATAGTTCAAAGTTCTTCAGATGTCTCAGTGGAAACCTAGTTCCTTAATCTGAAGAGCATTTAATCAGAAAGAGAAAAGGGATTTCCTGCTACTACTTTGTTCAGATCTTTGAGTCATGTCTGATGTGGTGTCATCTCAGTAAAATAAATGCTGGCCCATCCTCAGCCAAACTTAACACATACCTAATCCTGGGTGCTCAGTATATGGTGGGTGCAGGACCTGGGAATGAATTGCCTTCTGGATCACACCTGGATTCACATCAAGGGCTCCTTAGGGCTGCATATGACTCTCTCGCCCAGCCCTCTACAGGAGAAGGATGCTCAGTCTGGCTATGGAGAAATAATAGCCACTTAATGTGAACTGCTTGCCGTTAATGCCTAATTACCATGCAGTGCAATAACAATTACTCATGTCATGATTAGATTATATTTTGAAGATTTTATTTTACTTTATTAGCCTTGAACCATTGACTTACGTTCAATATGGTTTCTTGCTGAAGTAGCAATGTCATCTTTTATAATTGAAAATTAGAAATATTGAACTCTGGTAGTAATCAAATGCAAATTGAAACAATTACGTATATTTAACATTATCAGCTAATGGAAAAAATTAAACAATAACATGTTGGCAAGGATGTAGTGATATAGGCACTCTTACACATTGCTAATAGCAGTATAAATTGATATGAACTCTTTGATATTTTTTTCCCAAGACCAAAAAATGTTCATAAATTTGGAACTAGTAATCCTATAGTTGTTAATGTCTCCTAGGGAAACAGTAAAGGAAAAAACTAGTCACTGAGATTCTTATTGCAGCATTATTCTAATAGTAAACAACTAGAAGCTACCTAAATGTCTAATAATAATTGTAAGGAGTTGTCTAATTTTAATATAACACAGCTATGATAAGAGATCATTAGGAAGACTAATATATGGGGAATTCATAGGCCTGATGAAAATATATTCAATGTAATGGTTGTATTAAAATAGTAAAGTTGTGTGCAGCCCCTGGACATAAAGTTATGTGGATAAATTCAGTTTTATAAACACTTCATAATTTTATAATCACTTTTAAGTCAAAAAAAGGCAAGATAAAAAAAATCCTCTGATAGTTCAGTTATTAGTCTTTCAGAAAGAAAAGTATTTGACACATAAATGAGACAGCTTTTGTATATTTATTAAGCACAAACTGATATCTAACTAGTTAACCGATTTTCAGTAAAGATTCTCGTTAGGAACTTTGTATTTGAAAGTCTGTCTAGTAAAAGTATGTGTGTTGTCAGTATGGAAAATGTCCTGTGGAGCAGTTTTAAGCTGTTAGTGTTATAAATATAACTAATGTTTCATGACTTCTTAAGCTCATATTTATGCTGGATATTAATACATTTAGTATATAGAAATGTTAGATACCTAAGCAATCTGAGGTACGTTGTGTCACTCTGTGTATGTAAGTATGTGTAGACATGCATGGGCATATGAGATATATCAGTGCTTAAAAGTTGTGATTCTTGCTAAATTGTTCCTTTGGAGGAGTTAAGAAAGTAAGTAAGGAAATTACTTTTTAAAATTGTTTAATTTCATAAGGTTTAATTTACTGACCTGTCCATTAGTGATTTTCATGGTGTTTTAGTCATTTTTTTGTCACTAGGACAAAATGTTCAACACCTGCAACTTAAAGGAAGAGAGGTTTATTTTGACTCACAGTTGTAGTGGATTTAGTCCATGGTTGATCAGCTCCAAGGCAGAAACAGTATGACAGAAGGACATGACATAGGAAAGATGCCCACCTGTGGCAGCCAGGAGGCTGAGAGGGAGAAACTGGGAACAGAAATATCTGCTTCAGGTCATGCCCCCAGGTTCTACTTCCAAATACATGAAAATTGTGGGGGGGGGGGTGGAAGGGTTGGGGGGTGGCATTTTAGACCTAAAGCATAATGCATTAGGAGAGATTTTCATAATGCAGAATAATTTTAAATGAGAATTTAAAAATTCTCATTATAATTTTGTATGACAGCTGTAGGGTTATAAAACAATCTAAATAGGAAACTAGGTAATCCTATTAACAGCAGGTATTATTATACCATTAATTTGTTATTATAACCATAAACTACCATGGAAAAATCTTGTGTCATTATAAGATGTATGTAGCTCATCATGAGCATTTGCTCCCTTTTTAGTTGTTACTGTACCAAATATTAGTAATTTCTCAAAAGAATTAAACAGTTAATAATCCCTCAGGCCAGAGAAAGTAAATGAAGATAGCTTGTGTCAAAGTTAATGCTGTTGAACATTATAGTACTCATTAAACAGAAAAATGTTACTATGAGATTTGCCAAATTATGAAATATATGAATGTCCTTTATTTAAAATGTAGTATAATGACAGATTCTTAAATTTAAGAATTACTTAATATTCACCTGAGTTTCTGAGGATTAATATCTGCAAATACAGTACTTTGTGAAGAATTTATTGTGAAAATATTTGTATTTGTGAATTTTATTGCTTTATTATAGTTTGCTTCTTAGTAATCATGTTCTTGGAATACTTAATGCTGTGTGCTTACGCATACCAAGAGAGAGAAAACCTCTAACTTGAGTGAATTTTGTAAAAATGACTGTTATATTTGATAAACTGGTAGGATAATCTCAATGAAAAAGATTGCCTTTAGGTTCTTTTCTTCATTAAAGAAAAATGAACTACTTGACCCAGATTCTTAGTCTTTCTATTATATCATCCTTGGTTGTTAATACCAATAAATTATAAAATCATTTTGTAAAATGTCACATAGGAGCTAGTTTGACATTGTGTTAGGTTCTTCACTTCTGTTATTCAGTAGGATAAATAATCACATAGTTTGACTTACACCAAGAAAAGAAAAATTTTGTGTTGTGCCTGTCATTATAAAGAGAGATGTAATGAGAACTTGAGATGGTTAGAAGTTTAATTGAGTGATTCAGCAGTTTTGCATCCTAGGCTATAGAAGACATGGGTGACTATTTATGCCTTGGATGATTCCTTCCTTAATTTTGAGCATTGCATATTTTGTTTCAGCCATGAGAGAAAGTGAACTAAGACAAATGAAAATTTATATTTGGGAACTAATAATAATATCTTACTTTACTGAACACTTACACCTTTATATAAAAGTTTAGCTCTAAGCTGTTTAAGCAGTATAGTAGCTGTTTATGGAGAAGGTACTCAGAATAGACAGTATTTATGAATAACTTGTTTTTATAGTAAGAACTGTAGCATCTGGGTAATACCATGTCCACTGTGTCTTACTAGTTTCATTATACATTTAAAATGTGACATGAAAAATAATCTTTTATTTTTATATAAACCACACAGAAGTCTGTGATTGATCTAAATTTTCTTTTTTTAGCCATCCTGTGTGATATATGGAAAATCATGACATTTAACCTGTTATTTTTTTCTTCCGAAAAATAGCAGTAACAACATATAACATCACAGGATTGTTATGAAGAACATAGAAACTGCTCAGTAAATATTTCGTTAGATCACTGGATGATTGAAATGCCTGGCACGTGAGTTCTTAATCAATGCTGGTTCCATTTCTTTAGCCTTTCCATTAAGGCTTTGGAAGGAGCAGCCTTTTTTATTGTAGATTTCCTGAAAGTGATGTTTGTTTACCCAGAATTGTAGTAGCAGCAACTGATTGAAATAAGGAGTTGGGATATCCTTCTAAATTGCTCCTTTCACACAAAAACCCAGGTGGCTTCATTGTACTGTCCTTTTCTCCAAGATAATTTCATTTCCTTTTTTTTTCCTATTAAAATGTTCTTTTCTATTACCCTGTTAATGAAGCTTTACATTGGAACACTTTAAAGTAGCTCTAATAAGTACAGTGATAGAACTATTCTCTTTTAAGCTAATAGATTGGCTAGAAAATTATAGATTTCCAGTTTTTTCTTAATGCAAATCATTTTCTCCTACTTTTGATACTCTTTGGTTTGTAATAGCCTTCATAAATCACTAAGTTCTGTTTTAGCTCGGACATAAAGCTTTTTTAGTTAGTCCTGCAGCCACTGTATTTGCTGCTTGACATTGACAGGATTCTTGTCAAAGCCAGTTTTGAATAATCAGTGTTTAACCCTGAACAAGTTTTTCCTCTTTAGTTCTGTGTAGCTGTTAAGACTGTCTTGCCCTTACTCAGAAATGAGGAAAGTGACATGTGACTATTGTGTCATACATTTTTGCACACTGAACAAAGACATTTGTAAATTATCAGAATACCATGAAGTATCTCAGACCTTTTAATTTTTTCACTGAGCCTTTATAACCTTTAGTCTTGCAAATTTCATACAGTATTGATAACATTGCTGGTGTCCCTCCCTTCTGGTCCAGAAGATCTGTTTGCTGTCTTTTTTCATGCACAACTTACATTTATACTGCACAGAGTGGGGAGTACTTTTATGG